GAGCATTTCACACCAAACCACTCTGAATGTCTTTGTTTACATCTTAACCATTTAAATATGCCAAAACTTTGAGAAATCAGTGGAGTTCACGATGAACGTTTCAAGTGGGGAGATTTATCTTAACTTGAAAATTGAAAATGAACTTTAGAACCACCTGTAAATGAGTTAGACCAATCAAAAGCAACGAAAGCAACCTCATGTGCTATGACATCACAACGACAACTAACTCTGTCTGGAGCACTCGATTCAATGTTCAAGCCTCAAACTAGAAAAAAAAGACAGATGGGGTTTTCCTGGCCAAAAAACAGGCCTGGATCTAAAAATAAAATTAAGCTCGATTTAAATTGCAGTCACAATGTTATACAGACAAATCGCAATTAGATATTTTCTGCAAATCATTCAAGCCCTATGCAATGGCTGCAGTTTTGAATTTGCATTATATGGTCACGGATTTCAAAGATTACTCAGCAACTGGGTTTTCAGTTCTTTTCTTTTCAATGTACAGGAAAACAGTGAAATTACTGTCTGCTGAAATCGACAGTATAATACAGACAGTATAATACAGACAGTATGATACCTCTGTGTTGGGAGGGAAGCACATTTAGCCAAATAACAGCCTCCATTTTGCCAAACTGCCTCTCAATGTAGCACAAACAAGTCAGCATACTGAAGCTCCAGAGGCCTAACTGACCTGATCATAAACACTCAAACCTTTACTTTAGAAGAAAGAGTGGAAATGAAAATGCTAAAGATCATTCACAATACAATTAACTCTCAGTTCAGGGCAGGAGGGCGGCGACTTGAAGGTGCACTCACAAGGCTTTAATACTGGTGTATAACAGATTCTCACTGCTGTGGTCCGAAGTAAAACCCCCACTGTTAAATCAACACCTATTGTGTCAGACCGGTCTCCAGTGTGTGCTGTGCAGTTACAACCTGCTCGTATGCCGAAGGTGTTAATTTATCACTGGCGATTTCGCTGAGAGGTAGACGGCATCGTTCAACTGGGAGGAAGGAAACTGCAATCTCCAGAAATTTATACCAGCAGCATGAAACAATGAGCAAGGGGTGTCTAACAGGCTGTGGAACTACAAAGCCCATCAACCATCAGCTATTCAATACAGGCAAGTATATAGTTTTCTTTTAGGTTTGGCTATTGTGAGTAATGCATGTTGGGATGACAAGGCAATGGAGGGACTGATCTTTGAGGCAAATATATTTCTAAGTTCAGTAATAAATGTCCATGCGGTTGCACAAGTAAATCAATATTCAATCAATTGTTTTTCAGGGATAGCGCTTATCAAGTAACAGAACAACATGTATAGTTGTCGTGATATAAGTAAGCGCAATAAACATATCGGCAAAGGTCAATATTACAGAACAGATTACCTGGCACATGATGTAATTACACTGGCGAGAACTTAGAACCAACAAGTGTTTCCCTGTGCTGGGCTTGAACCATGCTTTCCTGTTTTACTGCATCCTGAAGTGAGAATCAACATCACACTTTAACTGTGATGTTTATTCTCACTCCCAGTGCTGCATGTAAAATATGTGCATCACCATAAGGAGCTCCATGAGGAAATAAATGTATGCTTATCCAGTTAGATTTCTACTTCCTGTGTACTTCCAGTCAGCGGCACACTACTTAATCATGATTTATCGCTTCTCATATCATTATTATGATATCTAACCAACTTGTAGAGAGGAGAATTTCCACTCTGTAATGTCTTCCAGGTTTCTCAAATGCTAGAGGGCGCTACCAATAAGTCCAAAATGAATCGGTTAATAAGGAGCATTTGAGCAAAATCCTAGTTTAGAAATGTGTAAACATTTTTAATATAAAAGAATACAATCATTTCCTGAACACAGAGCAGCATAAAACATTTTAACACTACTGTTATGTTTTTTAGAGCTTTTAAACTCGAGTTATGGGAGTTTAAAACGGCGCCTCATGTACATTCATGACATCAGTGAGCGCGAAGAGCCAATGAGCTGCTCCGCTCGCCAACCAATCAGCAGTCAGCAGCAGTAATGTTGGCGTTCTGCTGCCCAAACTTGTTTGTGGTATAAAAAAGGAAACGTACAGGTGAGTTTTCTTTGCTTTTTTAGTGAAATCCATCCTTCTACTATCAAAATTAAAGGAAAGTTCTGGGCGAGTGATTAGAAACTATTTTAACTTTTTATTTTTAGCCGTTTAGCTCTATTTATTCCCATTCATTGAGTACTTGCTCGCAGGCGCCCTCTGGCGTTTTGCAGTCATGTTTTTGATATAATGGGGGAAACGGGAAGAGAACCGGCTATGGTATCTGACACCTTCATCAAACATCACATTTTATGTTCATGCAGCTCTAAACATGACTGCAAATAAGTCAAAATTAGCCCGAAAGGCAAATTTTGATCCGCTGTCCCTGGCCAGACTTTAAGATGCCCCCTAAAATAGTTTACATTTTAACCTCTTTAACTCCTTGGGACCACCAGTGGTTCCAAAACGGACTTCGTCATATTCTTCATAACTTTCATACTTCATAAGCTACATTCAAAAGGTGGGGGTCATATAAGAGCTGTAACTGTCTTCTTTCCTGTCGAATAGATGATGTAATTTTAAACCCTTATAATAAAGGAAGCTGAACTCACAATATCTTTGTCTACTGAAAGTCGACCCATTTTTCCCCAAATCTGAGCTATAAACTGGATCTCAGTTGGTGTCTCTTTAGTGATCTGCTCTGTAAAAATTACTTTTATAAAAAAATACAAAGAGCGTCTAAGATTTTTAGCTTTCAGCAGTAAATTGTAAGCATATAGCAATATGTGTATGATCATAAAACACAATTTCTGTTAATTTGAGGGGGACGTTTACAAAAATAAACTAAAATTTACAGTTATTTCATGTAGTTACTGAATAATTTGCCTTACAATTTACTTAAGCATAATTTACTATTTAACAATGTCATAAATCCTACAAGACATAACCAAACAATAACAAAATGCACATCTAGCAGAGCACACAGACAAACATACATACAATCTATTACCTAAGTAATATATCGTCGCAGTCAGAACAAAACTCATATCTCCAAAAAGCTAACTTTACAGGAGAAGGAAAAAAAACATTCATAACCTTTAAACGACGTTAATGGAGAAAATATTTATTCCAAGTCATTTTGGAGTATTTCTATTGGTCCATTCATCCATAAACGACAGCTAGCATTGTGAAATTATGCCAAAAAATTAAAAAAGAACAAAAATGGAGATATGAGGTTTTGCCCCGACAGCGAGGATACATTGTCTACCGTGAGCTAAAGATAAATTCCTTACATACTTGGCCAATAAAGCCTGACTCTGACTCTAAAGAAAAGCACCCCAGGAACATTCTTCCTTTCTACACAAGGTGACCCAAAAGAATCCACAGTGCATCCCTGATCCACCTCAAACGGACAGTAATAGTGGTTTTGAACGGCCATCTACCTCTTCTGACAACGTCCGCCCCCCCCATCTCCCTCTCTATTTGACCCCTGCAGGTCACGGATTCTGACTGCCACTTCCTGTCTGATCCCATTACACAGAGGAGGGGGAGGAGGAGTGTGATTCATAGCAGGTGGGCCGCAGGGAGCGCACCGGACACGTCACCAGCCAGCATCAGCACCACTCAGACCGGGAATCAGACCAGCTTCTGCTAACCGTACAGAATCACATCGCTATTTAAAAGGATCATCTCAGCGAAATAAGCTCTTTTAAGAGCACGAAGAGACAGTAATGGTCAGGATTTGAGGTGCATATAAAAAGCAGAGCTGCAGAACAGAAGATTCATCTCAGCAAAATGAGCACCTTTAACCCCTAAACTGCAGGTAGCTATTAAGATTAGGGCCTAAATACTACAAATTATTCAGTATCTATTTTGACATTATTCTGTAATTTATGCAGTTGTAAAAGTGGGGAATTTAAGGGCAAATTCACTGACAGATCCTTAAGTTTTAAACGACTTTCAAGAAAGACTTTGATGATAAGAATTATTAATTAATTATTAATTAATAAAGAATTATTAATTAAGGTGTATATAAAATCTACATAAAATGAGGCCCATTTCAGCAAAATGAGCTCTTTTAACCCCTTAGACTACAATCTTATTTAGTTATCAATCTAAAGCCTTTTCCAGTAAATATTATAAATGATTTAGTGTTTACTGTGACATTATTCTGCAAGTTATACAGTCAAAACACTGAGGAATTAAAGTGTGGATAAGGTGATAGATCCTTAAGGTTTAAAGGGATAAGAAAACAGAGAAATGGTGATGATGAGGATTTGAGGTGTATAGAAAAAGGCTGCAGAATAAAAGCACAATCAAAAGAACGTTTTTAACCCCATTGAGCTGCAATCGTACTATACAGTAAACGTTATAAATTATTCAGTATCTACTCTGACATTATTCTGTAAGTTGTCCACTAAGAGTGAGGGAGCTGCTGACTGATCCTCAGGATTTAAAAGGATAAAAATAACACAGAGATGTTGATGATTAGGATCTGAGGTGTGACTAATAAAAGAACAATTGCAGCAAAATGAGCTCTTTTAACCCTTTAAGCTGCAATTTTATTATACAGGTATTCATCTTAAGGCTTATTACACAGTAAAGACCATAAATTATTCAGCATCTACTTTAACCTTATTCTGTAAGTGATGCAGGTATAATAGACATCTGACAGATCATTAGGGTTTAAAAGGGATAAGACCGCTCAGAGATGCTGATGATGAGGGTCTGGGGTGGGGGCTGTGGAACTGAAGCAGAAGCCGAAGGCTGTGGCTTGGAAATGAGAACAGTTGGGTGCTGCTGTTAACAGAAACGAAAGCATGGCCTCTTTCTCGGCACGTCCTGTCAGTCAGCATAAAGATTCTCATCATCACCCCCCCACACCCCCCCCCACCCTCCACAGGAACAACTGATCCCAAGCTTCTTACCAACCTACAGCACCAAAACACCAGCTGTCACCGTCTTCTCGGCTCACCTGAGTCCTCGGCACCTGCGGGAACAGATTCAGGGTGGTGGGTCTTTTGGGCCGGTATGTATCCATGGCGACGAGGGCGGGGGGGTCCAGGTCCCTCAGCGGTGGCTCTGCGGCGGGCCGCCCTGCTGCCCGCTCTCCCTCTTTGCGCTCATCGATGAGCAGCAGCAGCCTCTCCCTCTCTTCCTCCCTCTCTTCCTCCGCTTCTTCCTGGGTCCCTCCTCCCTCCGCATCTATCAGGTCCAGCTGGAGCATCTCGGCCTGCAGCTCCACCGCCCCCCTCCGACAGACCCAATCCGCGCTGCCATTGGCCGGCTCGGTCACGTGACCCTGGGAGAGAGGAGAGGAGCAGGCAGCGGAGCGGTTAGGAGGGGTCTGCAGTCAGATGCAGCCGTGGCCAATCAGGGCTCGGCGATGACATCACCCTGTGACTCCCTGCCTCAGTGGCTGCTGAGGGGAAAAGCTAATTCAATCACAGAGGACAATGAGCTGCAGCCACATAAACACCTATAACCTGGATAACCACTATAACAAAAACAGCAGTAATAATAGTAACAATAGTAATAATAAAACCTACAACAACTTTAACAGTAATAAGTAGTAGAAGAAGAAAAAGAAAAAGAAGAACAACAACCACCTCAACAAAACAACAAGATCAAACTGGTAGTCAAGCCAATGATAATAATAAAATTAATCATCATCATCATCATTATTGTTATTATTATATTGTTATTATTATGTTATTACATCAGAGGACAATAAGCTGCAGACTGCTAAACACTGACTAGTGCAATGACAGAAACAGAAGCAATAACAATAATAATATTATTATTATTGTTGCACTCATTGTTATGATTAGTTATTATTATTATCATTATTATTATTAATAATAATAATAATAATTATATTATTATTATTATTGTTATGTCTCAGAGCTCACTGACCTTTGTGACTGAATAATAATAATAATAATAATAATAATAATGATGACAGACAATACTGCCCTTTCAGACAGTCATGATTTAAATGACACTGCTGTCTTTGTTTTGATGCTCACTCTGTGATCACACTCACACACACACACTCTCACACACACACACACACCACACACACACACACACACATCATCTAAACCGCTTATCCTTCTGGGTCTCGGTGGGGTGCTGGAGCCTATCACAGCTGTACTCTGTTATCACATACCTACAAATTTCAATTTTTCTGCAGACAATAAGCAAATGTGTTAATATCAAGGTTTCTTGGTTATTTCTGCCTGAACTGCAGGCAGACTGTGGATGTTCTCTGACAGACTGAGGCTTGTCAGATGTGCCTGGCTCTGTCTGCTACTCCCTGCATTAATGTCTGTGATTAAGCTGATAATTGACTTTGGCTCTGTGTGAAAACGCTGCATCTGCCGCCGCCTCCTCCACTTCTCTGAGCCTCGATTGAGGCCGCTGCCTGAGGAGCCCCGGCCCAGCATTCATTCAGAGAGGAAGCTGGGAATGAGTGAGCTGCTGAAAGAAAAAACATAAGATGGTTTTGACCCAGAAAACTATTTTCCCTGTAGGGGACGACAGTAGATGGAGCTTCTGCTCACTGACAGTTTTTTCACTGTGGTTAACCAACATGTGATACGGCAGCTCATCCAGCAGTTTCTAAATGAACCCTTCAGAAGGCCTCGATGATGTTTGCCAAGTTTGCCAGGATGTGTGAATGATGTGGCAGCATATTGTGAGAAGGAGTGATTCATGCAGGATACATCATTCAGTAACATTTATAGTTTGTCACGGTTTACAGCAGCAATGGCAGACTAGAAGCAAAAAGTCCCTTGATTTGTGCAGCTGTAACTTCGTCATGTTGTAAATTGCATATATTTAAATACCAAAAACTAAAATAAGTACAGTAACTGGACATTGCTAGGAAGACAACCCTCCTCCAAACAGAGAGGGACTTGTATTAGTGTGTCTGTTTCTTATCTTTGCATCTCTTCCTGTTTTTTTCCCTCCTGTCTGGTCTAATAATAGTATTTTTACACATTTAACAAAGTTGACTAGATCAGACTGGTAGAAAAGCCACTCCAGAAACAGCTTAAAGCTGAACTGGTGTCTTATTCAACAGCTTCTGGATTGTATTTTCCGTTCCACCTTAAATGGTGCCTCAGTGTACTGGCGTCAGACTATAACTGCGGCACCACTTAAGGTGGAACGGAAAATTCCAATAAGGAGCCAGTTTTATATTGACTTACGTTAAAAAAAGGAAATTGGATATTTCAACCAATTTAATCAATACCACTTAAGTTAACACTTAAAAGGCAATATTGTTGACCTAATGTTAATATCAGCCTACGCGATTAGCATCCGCAGCTAGTTGCTACGAGTAACTACGTAAAAAGGCCACATAAACAAAGCGCAATATTAGTACTATTACTGTACCTTTGATGCCTCCTGAAGCACAAACGACCGGTAAAAACTATCGTAGCTAACTTTCGTGAACTTTCTACTTGTGTACAACTTAGCCAGCCCCCGCTGTGAGTTATTTTAGGCAGCGTTAGGAAGGTAAAAGATAATAAAAACTGTCCTCTGTATTTTTGTCATATGTCCTACTGTCGCGTCTTGGTTTTCGGAGGAAAGACTATTATGTAGAATCGACACTTGGAATCGACTCCATCGATTCCCTTCACTTGGAATCCGAATTGGAGTCGACTCCAAAATTTCTGGAATTGAACAGCATGAAGCAGAGTGAAAACACACCATATCCCAAAACTGCTCCCTCTGAGTCCATACAGCACCTATCCTACGGAGCCCCGCTGCTGACATCCTGTATAAATAAAAATTATGTGTGGCCACAACTTAGTAAGGCGTGGGAACGAGATGATTAAGTCGTGGCCATGACTTAGTAAGGCGTGATCTCGTTCCCACGCTTACTAAGACGTGGCCATGACTTAATCATTTCATTCCCACGCCTTACTAAGTTGTGGCCATGCATTAGGATCTCGTTCCCATGCTTTACTAAGTCGTGGCCACGCATTATTTTTATTTATACAGGATGTACTTTTTTACGGAGCCCTGATGATGACATCCTGTATACATAAAAATAATGTGTGACCACAACTTAGTAAGGTGTGGGAATGAGATGATTAAGTCGTGGCAATGACTTAGTAAGGCATGGGAACGAGATCACGGCTAACTAAGCTGGCCACGCATTAGGATCTCGTTCCCACGCTTTACTAAGTCATGGCCACGACTTAATCATCTCATTCCCACGCCTTACTAAGTCGTGGTCACACATTATTTTTATTTATACAGGATGTCACAAGTGGGTGCTCCGTACTTTTTGAAGTATTTTGGTTTGACAAAAAAGGCTGACGCTCCAAAGTGAGACGTGCGAGCAGCAGTAAAACAGGCTGAACTGAGCCAGCACAACAACAAGAAATGTGAATGAATGAAAGAAAGAATCAATCAATCAATCAATCAACGTGAAGGATTAAAGTGGAACTGAATAAAAAGTAGATTCCACTCTTTAAATCGTTGCTGTCCAAAGAAAAGCATGTATGTCCAAACTGATAACAATTTTCAGGCATTTCTATTGGTCCATTCATTATTAAATCTTCACACAGCGTAGAAAACTGCACTGAAAAAAATGGAAATCTTTTTTATTTTTTGGACAGCAACGAAATAGAGGCTACTTTTGACATTATGATCCAAAATACTTGATATTCATCAAAATCTGACTTTAGCATATAAAACTGAGTAATAAAACATGTTACTTGTCAGTTGATGAGAACTAAATAAGCAAATACAGGTAATAAAAACTGAAGAAGAAATGAAAAGAACGGCCGACGACGAACACTGACATCAAGCTACCCTTATGCTCAGCATCAGAGAGAATCCATGGAGCAGAAAGCTGATGAGATTCAGGACGGTTAATTCCAGGTTAGGGGGGCCTAAGAAGTGTAACCTAAATGGCTTTCGGCCAACATCACAGGCTCTAGAGAAAGGGAACAGATGCTTTCTGACCTACATGCTCAGGAGTGAGGATATGATGGAAGCAAGGCCCTAACTTCACATACGTAAACACTCAAAAATAAGATATCAAAACTACTTTTTTGCACTATTATGTTATTATAGCCTGCTGACTCTTACCTGAATGTCATAGTCACTGTGGCTCAGACTGCCGCCGTTCTCATCTGTGATCTCCGTCACTTCAGACAGGTCGTCGTCTTCATACTCATCCAGGCTCATATCATGAGTTAGCCTGCACACATTATATACAATAAAAAGAGATTTAAATATTGTAAACTAGACACAAAAATTATTTTAGTGTCTGTTTAATTCACTATTTCATCCATTTTAGAAACAACAAAAGTCATTAAATGACAGATAACACTGTAATGATGGATTTTATAGTGACTTACAGACATTCAATTGCCACGTTTGTAATGTGAGGCGTTCTTGATCTGAATTTAATTAAATTTCTTTTGATGCGACACTGTACAATATAGCTTTCCCAGTCATTTCAGAATCGTCTACAGCAGCCGTTCATCATCATTCCGAACACATCCGTTCTCTGTCCTAGAGAAACTTACAGAGTCAGAACTGTTCAGGAACCAGACGTCCACCTCTAATCTCTTTGAGATTCATCTTCCATACTAATAGCTTTGTTCCATTAAAAATCACACAAGGCCTTGTTTGGGCTGTATATGTATGTGTCCAAAAGTTTGTAGACACCTGCATTTCTTCTGAAATGAAGGGTATTAACAGTCAGTTTGTCCCCCTTTCCTACAATAACAGCTTCTACTCTTCTGGGAAGGCTTTACACTAGATGTCGGAACATTATTTATACACCAATCAGGCATAACATTGTGACCACCTCCTTGTTTCTACCCTCATTGTCCATTTTATCAGCTCCACTTACTATATAGGTGCACTTTGTAGTTCTACAGTTACAGACTGTAGTCCATCTGTTTCTCTGCATAGTTTGGTAGCCCCCTTTTACCCTGTTCTTCAGTGGTCAGGACCCCCATGGACCCTCACAGAGCAGGTACTATTTGGGTGGTGGATCATTCTCAGCACTGCAGTAACACTGATGTGGTGGTGGTGTGTTAGTGTGTGTTGCGCTGGTCTGAGTGGATCAGACACAGCAGTGCTGCTGGAGTTTTTAAACACCTCAGTGTCACTGCTGGACTGAGAATAGTCCACCAACCAAAAATATCCAGCCAAAAGCGTCCTGTGGGCAGCGTCCTGTGACCACTGATGAAGGACTAGAGGATGACCAACACAAACCGTGCAGCAGCAGATGAGCTATCGTCTCTGACTTTACATCTACAAGGTAGGAGTATCTAATAGAGTGGACAGTGAGTGGACACCGTGTTTAAAAACTCAAGCAGCACTGCTGTGACTGATCCACTCGTAGCAGCGCAACACACACTAACACACCACCACCACGTCAGTGTTACTGCAGTGCTGAGAATGATCCACCACCCAGATAGTACCTGCTCTGTGAGGGTCATCTACAGCAACCGTTCATCATTCTGGACACATCTAACAGTCTTTATAGTTTCCTAGCCTATTGCTCACTATCTGAAACCTGGGGCAAAAGTCTTGCATAGTAAAAAAAAATATTAATTTATTTGCAACCAAATTGCTTTTATTCATCAAAAACATTTAAACCTTGGAATGGTGGTGTATATTCTCTATAGGTAACTCCATATATAGGCCTAGATGATGCTGGTTCAGGACTACTGAAGCTGAACATTCAAATTCAAGTGATTGCTCATTGATTAAAGTGTCTGTGTCTGCGATTGGAAGGTGTAGCAGGATTATGTTTATAACTCATGGTATTACACTTTAAGGGGAATTCCACCATTTTTTTCTAGAAATTCTGTATAATTCAAGAATTAAAATGAACACAAAGTCATTCAGAGTGGTTCGATGTAAAATGCTTTGTTTTAGAAAAACTTACAGAGTCAGAATCGTTCACAGTGGTGGTGATAGGAACCAGAGTTTAATGCCTCTAAAAGCTCCTGCACAGAGTAATAAGTTATTACATAACATGTTCATGAATACTTTGCCTGATGTCTGAGATTATGTTTTATAAAGGTTTTGGCCTGAAACTATTTGTTTTTAAAAATCTATTTGTGCTGTAGAGCTAAATGCAGGGCATTACAAGTCAAAATATCCCCAAAGACATCTTTTTTTTTCAGATTTATCACTTTTTTACCATCATCAACATATCATATAAAACTCAGAAGACTCGTGTAGGTTCACTGGTGGTTTTGGATAGTAAATAAAATGGCTATATCTGTGTTGTAGACATGGTGACCCCTGGTTCCTATCACCACCACTGTAAAGTAATCTGGGTTGGTAAGTTTGTCTTCAATGAATCATTTCACATCAAACCACTCTGAATGACTTTGTTTACATCTTAACCTCTAAATTATGTAGATGCAGAGGGTGGAATCCCCCTTTAATATGAGCAGGGACACAAACTAAGGTTAAAAAAGGTCCATTTTAATTTTGTGTTGACTTTAAAAGGTGCAAAGCATTTCCAGGCCTTGTGCAACTACTAGTCAAAGACACACTGAGCCCAGGCTTTTATGTGTATTGCAGACTGCATGAAAGTACTGGAGCAGTTGTAGTTCAGCTGAGTATCTTTACGCAACACAGAGTGAGAAGTGAAGGCGTGTGTAACGTAAGCTGGGTTTGGCTAACGTGATTAAAGAGGAAAACCCGTCTGGAGCTCCTCAGCTTCTACTGAGTCTCCAGCACTTCCTGGTGATTAATGCTGCAGTATGAAACCGCCCTGCACACAACAAACACACGCAGCATGCTGTGTAAGCCTCATGGCCCAGAGTGGACAGCAGAAATGCTCCAAACGTCCAGATAAAGCACTTTACTGCTGCAAATCACTGCATTACTACACTTTCCATATCACATAGCACTGCTGGAGCAATAATTAAACAAATAAACTTCCCTGATTTCAATAATCTAGGTTTTAAATTAATAGTACTGCAAAAAAAACCTTGAACACCTTGACTGAATACAGACACAGACTATGGGCGGGACTTATCTACTTTTTGCAAGCATAAAAATATCTATACTGGAATTGAATGAAGTTAGAAATCAACATCAAAGATGCAGAAATTGCAGACTAGAATGAAAGAACATAAAAAAATAAGGCGTCTAAAAGTGCATCTAAAACATATTACATGACATAGTGTATCACTCAACCACGTCACATCAGTCTATAACAGCAAACTAAGATAATACTGCATATCATCCAACATACTGCACAATCAGGATCACTGGACTACAGTAACCAGTGCAAAAACTGGAACAAAATAAGCGAAACCCTGTTTATCCTGGATTAAAATCAAGCTCAACTGTACAACAAAGCACTAATTTCCTTTATGATCCCATAAGGCTCTACAGAACCCAACTCTAACTCTCATCTTGCATCTTTCAGCCCATTACGCTGCCTTCTCTCCACTCTCCTCATATACATCCAAGGTCAGATAAGTGAAGGATGCTATTGCAGACCACTTTAAATGAATTTCTGCATAATTAAATGGTTCAGATGTGAACAAAGTCATTCAGAGTGGTTTCGTGTGAAATGCTCTGTGGAGAAACTTACACAGTCAGAATTGTTCACAGTGGTGGTGATAGGAACCGGACGTCCACCTCTAAAACCCCCCTTTCAGAAAGTTGTTACATGAAATGGTTAAGAATTCACTGCCTGATGTCTGAGACACTGTTTTATGATAGTTTTGAGATTAATCTTCCATACTAATAGCTTTTTTTCAATTAAAAATCACACGAGGCCATGTTTGGGCTGTATATGTATGTGTCCAAAAGTTTGTAGACACTTGATTCTGCAGAGTTTCTTCTGAAATGTATTAATAGCGAGTTTGTCCTCCTTTGCTGCAGTAACAGTCTCTGCTCTTCTAGGAAGGCTTTACACTAGATGTTGGAACGTTGCGGTGAGGAGTTGGTTACATTCAGCCACAAGAGTATTAGTGAGGTCAGGTACTGATATATTTTTATATATATATATATATATATATATATATATCATAATGTTATGCCTGATCGGTGTATAGATAGACACAGTGCAGTGCAAAAGTTTTAGGCATCTGAGAACATTTGATTACAAAGCTTTTTATCTGGTCAATAATTGTTTATTATTTCAGAAAAACACTAATATTAGAATAAACACAGACATCATTAATGCAATAAGCAATGACTTTGTGTATGTCAGTGTATTAGATTAACCATTTCCAAGCCTCTCCTTAAGGAAGCCCAGAGTTAACCGTAGTTGTCATCCAACACCTTGTTTGGCTAATCTATGCACCATTATTTTAAATCAACTGTGCTGCTGAAAGAACCAAACTAGTGCTGTTTTAACCAGCTCATCAAATGTCTTTTTGAAAACAGTTAATTTTTGTTACTTTTTTATTGTATTTCTTTTGATTTGCAATTATTGTAATGTTATATAGTGTCTTCACACACAGAAACACTCTCACTGCTGAGATAAACAATTTGCATAAGTGCCCAAGACTTTCGTATACATATATATGCGAAACATATACATTCAAAATGTGTGTGTGTGTGAATGTGTACAGTACCATTTCTCCCACTGGTCTTCCATCCAGCTGTCTCCATCCTCCTTGGAGTCCATGGCCAGGCACAGCACCATCTGCGGGGGAGGGTGGGGTGGCGTAGGTCCTGGCGTGGGGAACCACAATTACTACCACACACAGACACACCTACGTGGTCCTGACTTGTTCCTGGAAGGCTACAAGTCGAGGAAGAGGGAGTCTTCTGTTCTTCTAAACAGCATCATACTGTGGACCTGGCACTCCCTGCATACTGTGCGTCCTTCCCAGGGTCAATTAAAGTCAGCAGCGGATGAAGGAGAGAGAGAGAGAGAGAGAGAGAGAGAGAGAGAGAGAGAGAGAGAGAGAGAGAGAATAAGCGAGAGAGGCGGAGAGTAAGGCAGGCTCCTTTTAAAGCCCTGCCACTCCACTGATTGATGGCCCGGATCGATGCGGCTCAAGTTGCCACCTCCAGCACACGAGCTCGGACGCTCAGGCCAGCAGCAGAGGAGGAATGGCTGCTGAGATCGATGCCATTGATAACGGCTGAAAATAAACATCTGGCCCCACCCAGACTGTACAACTGCCTCTCCAGGCCTGCGGATTAAGATTACATTTACCAGTGGGTGGACAAAATAATGTAAACCCAACACAATGCACTGTAAATTTAAGCAAGAATTTTTTTTCTTGGAGATAACAGTAGCAAGAAAATGGACTATTCTTTAAAAATAATAGGCCCACTATCAGAGATCTGTGTTTGCTTTTACCTCCTGGTAGACAAAAGAAGAGAAACACAATATAGTGTCCGTTTCAGAATGTTTGCAGTTTCTATTCAGTGCAGTATTCAGATGGTAAGATAACTCATATGGAGTTATATGGAGCATTTTACCAAATTAGTTTAACTGCGGTCCTACAGTAATATATGTGTGTATAAATATATATATATATATATATATATATATATATATATATATATATATATATATATATATATATACACACACACATACAGGGTGTCCCAAAAAATTAACATCATCTGAGATGTGAGTATCTGAGTAACTACATGTCCTGGCAAACTAAATTAAACAGGCTTCATGCTGAACAATACAAGATTTATTTATCAAAATTCAAACAAGAAACAAGTAGATTTTATAACTGATTTCACAGCTTCACAAATGTAATATCTTCTGATACCGGTGGTCGTCCAGACCCCTTTGCGCTGCACAGACAGACTTCCTCTTTGGATTTTTTGTGCCATGTCCAAATCTGCTTTCCAGTTGGTGCATTTTTATTAAATTTTCTCGAAAATGCTCGCTGCTCTCGTTTGACTGTGTTTGAGCATATTCTAACACACTAAATGCCTTTTCATTTCTAGTGAACGCCATTAAAAACACTAAAAATTCTATATATATATTCTTGAGTTTAAACTCAAGGCCTTAATGGAGATAGTAATAAGCTACATATATACAGAATCATCATATGGTACTTTCTATTGGGAAGTACTGTCCCAGAACATAACCCCTAAATGTACACTTCTGAAAAGAATACAGACTTTTTTCAACGTTGTTTTTTAAAGATCTTTTTGATTTCTTTTGAAGTGAAGTTGAAAGATTTAGATTTATCATGAGTTTCATTTTCAAATAAAAAGACTGTAAAAATTGCTGTCCCACATTTTCACGTCACTACAGAAACACAGAGTTTTAGTCTTATTTTAGTCACACCCCTGCACTTTAGAGCAGGAAGTGAGGCTGCATCCCTGTCCCTCATGGCCACATGGTGAAGTAAATGTCTCCCAAAGTCTAAAAACTTTATGAATTCAGAATTAAGAATTGTCACTACAGAAACACATATTTTCTGCAGTTAAGTAAGCTTGTTTGTGTTTTAATGAAAAATATGATGGTTTTATGTGTGTACAGCTGTTCAAAGCTGTGTTTGCTAGTCGTGTACTGGGTAGCGTTTTTGAGTTCTGCTCAAGATTGTCACCACTGAAACAGTCACTACTGAAACATTTCGTAAATATGATGTTCAATCATTAATTTCAATAAAATAAACATAATTAGGGTACAGGGTCACTCAAAGCCAAGGATTTTAGTTTAAAGGTCAAGTCAGTTAAAAGTCTGAAATGTGATTTAAACCAGTTCAGTAAAATGATTCACACACACTAAAGGCTTGACCAGGCCACTGTGTAGCAGTGCTCTCTTTAAAGAAAACCTGAAATCAGCGCTGACCTTTTGTACCTTCTTACTTCCTGTCAGTGCTCGTATTAAACACGATTCATCATATAAAACTACTTAAGAGACAAAATTCTTGTTTTCCCTTAATCTTTATTCAAGGTAGTTACTTTTGCCCCGCTATAAAAGGTCATCTGATTTTTGATGACATCATTGTGCGCCAGCTCACCAGCCCACCAATCATGGAGAGAAAACACTCAGCTACCTCAAAGACCCTTCCCAATACAGTGTTTCACTCCAAAATGTGTCATGTCTGGAAGATGCACCACTATTTGCTATTCACGCATACTTTGAAGGGGAATTTCACCGATTTTCCAAAATTGTTCAAACAAAACAAGGTAAACAAAGTAACTCAGAGTGGTTTGACATGATCACGATATCTACAACACAAATATAGTAAAACAATAGTAAACCTGAAAAAAGAAAAAAAAAAAAAAAACAAAAAACTTTTCTTTGGGGACTATTTTGTCTTACAACACCCTGCATGTACCCCTCCACCATGACTGTATATAAAATATGTTCTAGTCAATGTACGTAACATATTCCTAACTTTTTCATCTAATCATTTTCTGTAAGGGGGCTTTTAGAGGTGGACGCCTGGTTCCTATCACCACCACTGTTCACAATTCTGACTCGGTTAGTTTCTCTGGAACAGAGCGTTTCACACCAAACTGCTCTGAATGACTTTGTTTACATCTTATTGATTTAATTATGCAAAAAGATTGAGAAATTTGTGAAATTCCCCTTTAAAAGTGCACCTATAATACCTCAATAATAGGGGATGGTCTAATTTAACGCATATATTTCTTTGGAATCTCACATTACTGTTATTTTATACCTTCTCATTAAACACATAAGTATTAATGTAAAATGAACAAATCTATATGTAAACCAGTTTTAATTGAGATCGATTTAGTGCAAAGAAGGGGAGGTTATGTACTGTAGCCATTAGTCTTGGGTGCAGGGCTTTGAGAGCCATTATCAGCTCATTAGAAATCCCACACCACACCATCCACGACTGCACTGATGAGCTCTATTTTGCTGTAACAGCACAGGACTGAGAGAAATACGACTGCATAAAAAGTCATAACCCCCCCCCCACAAAAAGGTATGAACAGCACAGGCCTCATTTAATTTGTACCGATATGTTCAACGTACAGTGTATTGAAAACCTAAGGTTTAAATCTGAAATCTTCATAAAAGATAGATAAAGGGAGAGCAGGGCGAGGCAACACCTTATATGAAAAACAAGCACAATGTCGCCCTCTAGCGTGGAAAAGAGTGCTGCATTAAACACACAGAAGACTTAACTCAGAATAAATACACATCAAAGTGCGTTCAGAAAATTTATTTGGATATATTGTAATCTACAGTAAAACAATGTAGACGCAATATATCGTGGAAACATTGTCTTTGTCGCTGACAGAAACATGCAGTGAGGAGGCTTCAATAAATTACTGCCTACAAACAGAGCAGCTCGCCATCCCAGCAGCGCTTCCATGAAAATAAACTCTTTTGTACAATACAAAAAAAGACAAAATAAATAAAGCTATTCCATTTAGCTCAAGGGAACTTAACTTATCATGAAAGTACATGTTCGCGTGGAATGTACAGGTTTTTTTTTGTTTTTTTTTAACTTTGGGGGCTAAAACAGCCTACAAATGGTCAATATCATCATACAGTAATAGATTCAGTCTTACTGGAAAACGTATATGATGGTTTACAGACACTGCAGTGCGGTAGTGTTTCAGAACGGTCTGTTGGAGTAGTTGAGACTGCAGAGTGGCTTTGGGGGAGAAACAACAGGTTGTGTGGTAACACTATAATAACGGGCCCTAGAAATAGCAGCATAGTCATCATGCAATAGTTTGTTAATGACAGTTAATCTAGAATTGCGTCCTGTGCATTAATAAGCGCTACCATTTGAATTACTACTCACCACTGACGAATCGACACAGTTAGTACTATAAATGCATTTTATAAATGTATTATGCAGTCGTAAGTCTTATGCAAAAGTTTACGCACCCTGGTCTAATGATGTTTTGTTGGTTTTCTAAGTGAAAATAAGTGAACACTTCCTCTACAGCAGGGTGTTAAACTCAACCAGTAAAAGGGCCAAATTAAAAATCTCAACAAATCCGTGAGCCAGATTTTATTTTTACTTTTTACATTTTGCCGTGACCCCAACTGCCCACTGTTTATTTAAAATATGCCAAAACTACAACGGCAAAAATACAGGCACTGGATAACTTGAACGATTCAAAAATAATTTTATATAAAACAATTTGCTTTTATTTAAAACAGACTCCATTATCTGCAGATCACTGTTAAACTTCTTTAAGTGTCCCCAATGTACTGTGGTGCTGTCCCATAGATCGTTGTTGGGGAGGGGGTGGCAGCACACATTACGCTGCAGTGCATGCTGGGAACTGTAGTGCAGCTCATGGTTAAATGGGCTAATATTAATAGAAAATTTAAATAATTTTGCGGCCCGAATAGGATTGGCCCACGGGCCTCGTGTTTGACACATGGGCTCTACAGAGAACACACTTTTGCACAATTACTGTTTATTTGGTGAATTTAAATTATAAAGGGGAAAAAAACTAAATGTGTCATACAAAGTTTATGGTACATTTAATACTTGTTTTTTTTTTGTTAAATTCAGCAAACTGTGCATTAAAATGTGCAGAAGTGTGTTCTTTGTAAAGGATGCGTTTACTTATTTACACTTTTTTTTTTATTTCCACAAAACGTCATTTGACTTGGGGTGCCTAAACCTTCGCACACGGCTGTAAGGCATAAAAATTCAAATGGTACCATTTATTAATGCATCTGACTATTATATAAAACTATTAGCTAACGATTAAGATGCTGTTTATCAGGGCCTGTTATTATGAAGTGTTGCTGGTTGTCTTTCTTTGTTTTCTTTTTTAAGAGCTACTGACACAAAACTTATGAACAGGCTGAAATATTATTTCCTCAACACTGAATAAAAAAACAAAAACAAAAAAAACTTTTTTGCTGCTTGTGTACACGGCAAGCATTTACTGACTTCTACTGTGTATGTCTTCATACATTATTGGTGTCAGAAAACGGCACGACAGCTTCCGAAAGCTCCCTATCTGCAGTTTGAGACAACGATTACGCAGGACGAGTCAAATCAGACTAAAGGTCATAAATATTGATTCACACCTCAAGCTGAATGACAATCAGATCTGTTTAAAAAGCTCTGAGCAGTTGCTGTATTTTGAGGAAATGCTAATATATGATGAACACAGAAACTCTTGAGCATCAAAGTCATGAAGACACGTTTGCAGCTGTTTCAGACTGGAAAATAAATAGAAAAGCAGCCTAAGAGACGCTGGGAGGAGACCAAAGGAAGCTGTAGCTCTGTCTAACGTACTGAACGGTAACAAACTGCAGTCTTTCAGTCACTTCATCAGTTTGTTTGCTGATCCTGTGTGGGTAGCGGCTGTATAGCTGCTGCTGTCGCATTTTCGGTCACGTTGGATGGTTTCGAGCTTCCTCTTTTTTCCCCTCTGTTCATGTCTGGTAGCCACTCTACTATCTGCATCTGCCTGTGTAGAAAAGAAGCAGTTTTTATTATAATCATAAACAAAGAGATTCTCCTAAAGAGATCAGCCTTCAGGAACCCCCAGCCAGCACATATGTCGGTTCATAAAGACAGAAAACCTTAAACAATTCAAAAACATATTAACCCTGAGAAGGGCTGATGCTGTTTTCCTATACATTTGATTTATGTTACATCATTATTTAACATTATTTATTAATTACAAATGCAACATTAGAATTACACAATGAGCTACGTGACTGATCATACAGTGATGCATTGAAATGGAAATACTTGGCTGATACCGAAACAGAAAATCGGGACACCGTGGGCTAAAACCAAATCCAAAAATCATTATTTTATGTAAAATTCTTTTTGATTTAAACTTAATAAAATGATTTGGAATCTACAGTATGTGTCACTAAATCCAACATCCTCAGAAACAGGGAACGGTTGGTCGTCCAAAGCAATTAATTCCATTATTTTTAGTGTTATTTTGCACTTTATTTGTCGTTTGTTAATTTTTCTGTCATTTTCATGAACTGGGGCTATATATTATGTTGCCAAGCTTGCAGAGACTTTCCCTTCTGCTTCTGTTCTGTGTACTGAGTGAGATGTGTTTCCAAGTGGTATCAAACCCTTTGAGCAGAAGTTCTCGGGTGTTGTATCTCCTCCTGATACTCGGCATGAACAGTGATTATAAATCTTTATAATGTGTCTCACAGAAACTGTGATTTAGACACACATGGCTGGTTTTTCACTGTTTATCTGCTGCTGCTCAAACTGTTTGAACCAGCGCAGGAGGCTGAAAGGAACAAAGAGCGTTTATAATGACTATTTCTTGTTTTCTTTACCATTCACATCATTTGTAAACTCTTAGATTTTGATAAATCATTGTAGGCCCATTCAATCTTTTAAACACACACACACACACACACACACACACACACACACACACACACACACACACAAAGTCGCTTATCTTGAAGTCAGGAAACACCCTGGAAAGGTTGCCAGTCATCTAAATAGGGTCGTTTTAAAATTTTGGGCTGTTCAGTTCATTCCTAGAATTATATTTACATTTCAACAGGGTAAACACAAAAAAACATGGCAACAAAGATCATATTTCAAGGAATTTTGGACCATTTCTATTGGTCCATTAATAATGAATTATTTATATAATGTAAACAGCAGCTGTTATTTTGGTGTAATGAATATTTTAAAACAAGAGTCAAAAAGAGTTTTGATAAGACGGCGACAACGGACTACCCACTGAATATCAATAATATATCTGAAAAGTTGGAAATATATTACGGCAGGCCTCGTATCTCATTAACATTAAAAATTGCATTACACTTGAGTGAGCAGCAGTGTTGCCAAACATGTGGCCTGAGGGCTGTGGAAGGCCTGATAAAGCAGTGGTTCTCAAACTGGTCCTCAAGGGCCCTTTTTTGCAGCTCATAGTGATACAGCAGAAATGTGGACTGTCTGGGGGTCCCTGATGACATGCTTGAGAACTATTGCAATAAAGTTTCTAATCCGGCCTGTCAAATGAATTTAGAATCCAAGTCCTAACTTAAAACCATCTTGTGGACAACATAATTGAAATAAAAGATCTTACATTAAAAATGGGTAAAATGACAGCACGTGTTATTCCACTAGGGGGCAATGTAGAGCATTCATATCAGATTTATGTTGAAAAATACAGTGATTTGCAAAAACAACTGAGAATGGCTAAAAACAAAAGTCCTGGCTGCACAGTATTCATTTTTAATCGTGGCTGAGACACCAGCGATGCACATTTAGGAGGAGTCGATGCGTTATCGGCCTACAAAACTGACTTTTAGGTCTGACCCACTCGACAACGTAATGTGGTCCATGCGAGACCCCTGGTGTACAGAGACACAATATAACCCATGATATCTCATTCACTCTGGTAGCTGAATCAAATGCTCTTTGTCTTTTTTGATTAGGTACCTGCGTGGTCACTGCTTGTCGGTGGTCTGCGGCGGCTGTTCGCTTGCTTTGGCCTGGCTGGTGTGCTGGACTTTGGGGTTCAGCGAGGTCCGGGGTTCTGGGGTCCGTCCTCGTTTTCTCTGGGCAGGGGGAACTGAAGCTGTTGCTGGAGGCTGGGGGTCGGGGTCAGGAGGCTGAGGCTGGGGCTGGGTTTGGGTTTGTTGGGACTGGGGCTGGGTTTGGGTGGAACTGGAGGGGACACCTGTAGAAAACACATCTGAGTGATTATAGTTGCACATACACACTACGTGCAAAAAAAGGGCACATCAAACACAATCATAGCAGTGGTTTTCAACTGTTTGAGGTAATCAATGCTCAGTGGAACAATACTGACTTTCTTTTAAAGCTTGTCTGGAAATTTACCTACGAGACTTCACTATTTAAAGAAGTCAAAAGGAAAAGCTCTCCCAGAGCAAGAGAACAACAACATAGTAAAAAAAAAAGCAGCCTTAAAAATAACACATAATACTGGTCATCATAAAATAAATAAATGAATAAACAAACAAATAAATAAATAAGTGAATAACAATTGTAAATAATGAAGACTATTTTGATTAATGTCATAATAATAATTGTGATTATGATTTTTATGTTTATAAAGTTCATGATTATACAACTGAATGATTATATGATTATAATATCACTGCTACTACAATAAAAAAATATTATTATAATAATTTTTGTAGTAGTATTGTTATGTGAATTTTGAAGCTATGCAATGATGATTGAGTCTGTGGATAAAATGCTAGACTTCAGTCTCTTTAGATGAAAACAGGGCCATAAGGTAATCTAAAAAGCTGTGCCTTAATTTTTGGACTGAAATGAATGGAAGTGAATGGAAAGCTTCTCCCAAATAGTCCCTCAGTGCCAAAGCAGCTCCCTTCCAGTGACACACGTTAGGAGGCAAAAGCTGAGGGCCTGGTGTACCCAAAGACGTAATAAACAAAAAGATCAATAAGAGCCACCATCCTTGCATTGTACTTCTCCAGCATTTTACAGGAAGGCAAGAAATGGTATTCTGTGCACTGGCTCCCTCTAGAGGCCTGAATGTGCTAGAACCACACTGCCTCATTGTCTAAAAACCATGTCTCCAGAAAAAAAGCACTCTTAACTTTAAAGTATGTTAGTGTGGCAAAGTTTTTTAGTCCAAGTAATTTCAAACCATTTCTACTGGTCCATGAAATGTTCACATAATGTAAAATGGTGTACATAATAAACTGAATAAACAGAGTGAGGAGGTTTTGAATCTAATGTGGCAGTGTGGTTATTTTTAAGAGGGCGTTATAGAGTAGGTACTGAAAGGGCTGGGTGTCGTTCAAGAAAGTTCAACGTTGATGCCAACAGACATCGATGCTGCATCCATCGCGTTTATGAATGTGGTCAACCACACTTTTTCATGTCTTTATTAATTTTTGACTGAGTACAGTCTGTGGCCAACATGAAGACGGGCAATTTGGAAAGCGGAGAGATTTAAAAAAAAACAAAAAAAACAAAGTTCACTGCTCATCTCTGCAGCACAGTGAGAAGTTTCTAAAAAATGCTGGTAATATCACTGAACAGAAGGAACTCATTCAGATTTCCAGTTTGGGCCGAGTCGTCTAGCTGTTGTCAGATTACATTACATTATCAAACACATGCAAAAGTTTGAACACTCCAGTCAGATAACATGTGAACACACTTAAATATGGCATTTTTCTGCCCATTTAGCGCAAAATTTTAATGATCTATTTATCTTTGGGTTTTCTCAGTTCGGAGTTTAGAATATTGGATTTTACTGTTGAACAGCTTCCGACATTGTATAAAAACAAACGTATGTGTGAAATGAGGAGATCTTACCGCTGCTGCTGGCCTGAGAGTCATCTGACAGCGGGGGCTCTGCCTCCTCCTGTATGGTGGGCACAGATGCTAGCAGACCTTAGAAAAAGAGAAACACAAACAAAAATAGGGATGCATGATGATATCAAACATACTGGTATCAAATTTGTTCAATTAGAATTGTAATTGTACAATTAATTGTAAATAATTGTAATGGTAATTAAAGTTTGTCCAAGTTTCCCCGTCTAGTTTTTAAGTTGGCTTAACGAAGCTATCGCAATAAAATCCCAGGAGATTGCGAAGGTGTTGCTAGGCCATTGCTATGGAATCCCAGGTGGATGCTAAAGTATTTGATGCGAAATCGTTTATTGTAGAGAATTTTTTCGTCATGTCTCTGCACTGCTGTCGCCATAGTACCATGGCCATTGTACATACATACAAAACAAGCAAGCACTGTGAAGAATTAACTGTGTTTGTGTGTGAAGAGTCACTCACTAAGGCCTCTGTAGTGGGAGAGCTGTTGGTAGACCTGCTTCATCCTCTCGATGTTGAGGCGGCTGCTCTCGGCGTGGTTGATCATGGGTTTGGGGTAGTCCACTCCCACCACGCAGTTGGCCGCCTTCTGAATAGACTCTGGCGCGTTCCAGGGCTCGTAGATGTAGCGGTTCGGATAGTCCTTCAGCTTTGGGATGTATCTCCTGCAGAATATCAGAATAACCAATAAATATATACGAGATACACAATGTTAACCGTTAAAAAATGTTATATACACACATAACGTCAGTGAAAATACTGTGAAATCATTAAGGCAATACTGTTTTAATAAAGTTTTATCCTACTGTGAAAAACTACAATACACCATAATATACTTTTCTGAATGTAAACACATTGAGCCTCATCCACCAACCACTTTTAAGAAGAAATTTCTTCTTAAAATCCACTTACGCAGTTTTCACGAAGATCCTGATGTTCACCCATGTTTTCTTATTTGGGAATTGTTCTTGGCTAAGAACAGAATCTACACTGTACACACTAGAAGGAACAAATGGGAACAGTTCTGCGCTCTAAGAATACGTCATGAATCTAACGTAGAATCTTTCTTAGGACCTTTCTCAAAAACGAATTAAGAAAAAGCTTGAGAAGATTTTGGTGAATGAAGCCCACTGTGATTTTTCTGTCCAATACAAAAATGAAGCTGCAGTTAAAAACATGTCCAGATGTGTATACATTAGAACAGTTTTTTCTTCCACTGAACAAACACAGAGATACAGCACAGCTCTTTCTTCCAGCTTTGACAGCGCAGTTTAAAGATGTAACGCAGCAAAGCGAAATCCAGCCTGTGAATGTTTACATTAGTGCTTATGCAACCCTGCATTGTTCTCTTAAACAAATCTGCAGCCCCGTTCTAGCATCAGAGCTCTAAACCAATTGCAGGACATCAGCTACCGACGCGTTTCCCTTCCTTTAAATGACAAAAGAAAAAACTTTATACAACCAGCCAATCTATAAACCAGGCATTGTGCAGTGTGTTTATTCAACTGACACAAAAAGGCAGCCAACAAAGAATCTATTAGAACAGTCACAGCAGACAGTTAGTAGTTTGCTAGAGTAGGTGTGACTCAGCCTCCTGCAGAACTCACTTCCAAACCTAGTTCAACATGACTGCGTTTACTATTCAAACGCTGGCAAAGATTCTGCTGGATCTGCTACGTAAGAGAGAAATTTTAACGAGAAAATGTGAACAATTTAAACAAAAATGTCAAAAAATAAAAATGCATGACGTGAAATTATACAATCGTGTGCAAAAGCTTGAACACTCCCAGTCTAACTGCACGCTTTCCCAAAAGTTTGGCTGCCGCCGATTAAATTAGGTTTTGTTGATTTCCTAAGTAAATACTAGCTGACACATGTGGGTCAGATCTGTCCATCAAGACCAAATTGAGTGTTTTGATGAATTAACCCTTAACAAACATAAATAACTGTGGTCAAAATAATACAGATCAGTCCTTCCCTGTCAAAGAAAGACTCACGACTGTGTTTTTAATAATCGCAAAGCATATTATTGTCTACAATCCGATATTTTGTCCTAGTCTTGTGGGGCCAGAATACATGTCGTAATAAGAATGACCATCTGGGGACAAACTGTTAAACTTTCAGGGCTGGATTTTGCCACAAAGAAGACTCGGCCCTCTCTAAAATCCACCACCTAACCGTTGGGCAGCGTGCTCTTAACGTCTGTTGTCCAATCAATAACACAAGTGATGCAAACTAGTGAGCAAAATGCCATCATTAACTCACTTCACTCTTCAGAATATTTCAGAAACGCCCTTCAGTTTAGTTTTGCTCAGTGCATAAATTTATTTAATGAAACTGCTACAAATACTTTGTTTGAAAACGTTAACTCGAGAAGAGGGATTTAACTTCTTTGCCAACTGGATATGGAAAGAGTGTAGTTTACCAAGCCTGTCTGGATGTTTACAACTTGTTTAAAAACACAAAAACTAATGGTCTTAGTGATACGTCCATTACTGTCCGTAATAAAAGGGCAAGAAAATTTTTAAATGCAAAGGAGATTCCAGCTGCTTGCGGGTCACAGCACGGAAACGGAAAGGAAAGTTGCTTCAGACGCTTTCAGACAGACGTTTAGGCTTTGTTCACACAGCAGGTAAAAGTGGCCCAAATCTGATCTTTTTCTTCATATGTGCCACAGGTGTGTGTCTGTGTGGCAGTGTGAACAGCAAAACACACCCTGAACCTGACATTTTCAATTCCGATTTGGGACGCTTTTCTATGTGGCACTGAAATCCGATACGTATCCGATAGGCAGCAATGCGACTCATTCTGAACAGCCAGACTGGAACTTATGCAATTCTGTACTTCAATCCAACTCAACATTCGCCATAATTTAGCGCTGCTGAGACTTGGGGTGATGTTTCTGTACAAAATGTGATCTTGAACACATTCTGGGTGATGAGCCCAGCTGTCAGTCAGTGAAGCTTCACGACGGCTGCTGTGATGCTGGCGAAGTTAAAACTGAACCCGCCGGGAGCGACTGGCGTTCGTTGGCATAACTGTTTACCTCTGGATGAGCCACGTGAAGCATTGTTCTTTTGCGCATGCGGGTCAGTTTAGGAGCTGATCTGTTCAGACTGATGTCGCATACAGATCACATTTAAAAGATAAGGTGAACAGCCAAACAAAAAAATCGGATTTGGTGAGAAAATCAGATTTGGGCCACTTTTACCTGCTGTGTGAACGTAGCCTTATTCTATCAGTGGCTTGATGGAACAGCTGTGGACGAAGTTCATACCACTGCTCAGTGGTGAGTACATGTAGTTATGTGTTTTTAAAGTTATTGTTGTTTTGCTGTCATAACGGGTGTTCTTGTAGCACGCTTATCAGTTTTAATGATCATTTAGCTTCAATACAATTTTTTCGTGAGCATCACTTTGTGTATCGTTGCAACTGTGAACAACAGAGGCCACATACAGCTGCCGATAACCCAGCGTCAGCCCAGTGATCTCTTCTAAAGCCAATCAATAGTGTAGTTTAAAGGTTTTTCTGTTGCAAGAAATGTAACCGCATGTAATGTGTCGTCCGCACATGTGAAAGATATGTACATGCTTAAAGTTTTGGGGGCACATTTCAGTGATTACAACTTGCATACATTCATCACGCTAGCAACAGACTTGTTTTCCACTGGACAACATCGAACGAGTGCACCACTGCCCATCATGAGGCGTTGGATTGGTTTAAGAAATTTCACATTCACTTTGTTCCACATCTAACCCAAAATTTCTCATATTTCTCATAGTTGTCCCCAGACATTCTTGATACGAATCACATTTGGCTCCACGAGACTACGTGCAGCCCTGCTGTAAACTTTGACATAATCACTACCAAACGTATCACAGCTTTGCTCTTTTTTTATCTCTGAAGTACAATAAATCCTTGCTAAGGCTGTACACTAAAAGCACTGTTGCTGTATGCAGTCCATCTTTGAGGTCTGTAGGCTAAAGACTGGTTTACCGTATGTAGTCCCCGCTGGGGTCGGTGCGGCGGCCGAAGCCCACTGGGCAGTAGCAGTGGAAGAACTGCTGGAAGAAGGCGCTGCATGAGAGCCACATCCAGCTGCCGGCATTCACACTCCAGTCGGCGTCCAGCAACAGCTCCTCAAACACCTGCCAAGGAGGAACACAACTCAGTCAGGTCCTTGCTATGAATGGTGTGCTTATTCAAACACTTGGCATGTGGCTTCCTTTATTGTTGGGTTTTTTCCCCACAAGTGAGTGCAGTTCAGGTCAGCAGGCACTTGTTATTGATTTATTTAACCAACAGTAACAATTAGGCTCATCTGATGCGTATAGTATATGACTAGTTATGTCTTTTTTTGGTTCAAAAAGGTAGTTTATGACACAAACTGAAATTGCAGCTTTGTTAGATCATGTTTGTTACATACTGAATAAATGCAACTGCAGCATTCAGGAACCATGTTATTGATGGAAATATTTTAGAGGATAGCCCAGGGGTCGGCAACACGCAGCTCTTTTACTGCCCTGTTGCGGCTCCACGGCAGAATTAGATTTGTAGGTAAAAATAAAATAATCCTCCTTTGCAGTAAAATAAAGCTTTGCTGATCGTTCAAAACTGTTTTAACAGTAAATGGTCTTAAACGCTGGAGTTAATATAGCCTATATCTACTAATTTACCCTTTAACCCTGAAGGTTCGTGTGCAGACTGCTGGCTCAGAGAAAGATTTATAAACGCACATCGATAATTTGGAGACGAATTAGCTTGTGTGTGTTTACAGCACTAAAAAGTAACAAAGTTTTAGTCTGTTTCTCATTTGACTTTTCCTGTCCCACCTTAAATGGTGCTGCAGTTACATACGTTTAAGGTGGAACTGGAAAAGTCGAACAAGAAGCTGGCGAATGGGATGCTGACTTCAGGCATGTGAAAAAATCTAACGTTAAAAGACATTTTACAAGAAACTATACTACTTTGGCAGAAATGTTTCCTGCTGGAGATGCCAGAAAAGTGGCTATAGCTGAGCTAAAGCTTAAAGCAGAGCAAAGCAAGCTTGTGTTTTTGTTTCTAATATATTTTTCAGTCTTAGCACATTAGCACAAACTGAGACATATTTACAGCCAAGATGTTAAAATGGACAAAGTGGTTTGATTTTTGTTGAAAGGACCCGGTATAGCCAAATGGCCCCAACTGAGCAAAATTAGAGAGAGAATTTGTACGACTTATCGTAGTGTTAAAGCTGTACTATATACATTTTGGGGATTTGGAGATCTCCTTGGCGGAAAAGCGTAACTGCACGCAACGTCTGGAAGAACGTATAGTAGTGTGGGTTGGGCTTCGGACCCTTTTCCAGAGCGAATGAATCTGATGTTTGCGGGAGTCTAGTTCTAACCACAATCTACTCCAGCAAAGTGACTTCTTAACTGTGAGTTCTTAAAGTGAGTTCTTAACTGGCTGCATCAGATGCAGTCATAAAAAATGGGGGTAAGGAAGAGGGGCAGCATGTGATTTGCAGGTTGAAATAAAGCAGGAAAGTGGGTTTCCAGGAGGAGGGTTAGTGACCACTGCATTATACAGTGCACCACATAACCCTGCTGTTTGCCTCTGAGCCTTTGCGTACCTTCGTGCCGCTCTCCCAGCTGATCCACAGGTCACCGCGGGTGAGGAAGCAGGCCACGGCGTGCCGCGCCAGGTGATGGATCCAGCCCTCCTGCCTCAGCTGGGTCATGATGGCGTCGATCCAGGGGAAGCCCGTGCGACCCTCTGCCCACTTAGCCAGCGCCTCAGGGTTGTGGTCCCAGGGAATCTGCACGCAGATGGGGTTCCCCTCCATGCGGTCGAAGTTGGGGTTGTTGGTGGCCGCCGTGTAGAAGAACTCCCGCCATAACAGCTGCCCGAAGAGCGAGAGAGGGGGGCTGGATTTTCGGCGCAGCTGGAAAAAGGAAGATCACAGGAAGACACATCCGATTCAACAACGAATGGCTTGTTTTAGAAGCTGTGTAACATTGGGTTAGAACGGGGGTGTCAAACTCAACCAGTAAAAGGGTCATATTAAAAAAAAAAAAATCTTAACAAATCTGTGGGCCAGAGGAAAAAAAATATTTTTATTTTATTTTTAATTAATGTTGTGCTATAACCTAAACTGGCCGTTGATTATTCATAATATGCAAAAACTTCTACAGCAAAATACAGACACTTGTAGACGGTGAAATATTACATGGACACTTCAAATATCCAAAATTTAAATGTCCCCAGGAGCTCAGTCTTTTAAACCTACCTGTTTGCTTGAACTAGACACCTGGCATCTTTTCTTTGCTGCGAGTTCATCAAGATTTGGGCTCAATTTCTGAGCTGCTGAGCTGACGTTAAGTGTTTATGTTGAACTGCAGCTGAAATGCATTTGGTGATAGGACTGGTGTGGAGTGTAGAATTGTGTAGAACTGAGGTGTAACCGCTGTCCCATAGACTGCTGTTGGAGTAGGACAGTTGAATCGCACACTGCGTTGCAGTGCATGCTGTGGACTGCAGCGCAGCTCATTGTGAAATGGGCTAATGTTATTAGAAAATTTAAATATTTTGTGGACCAGACAGGATCGTCAGATCAGGCCTGCGGACCTTGTGTTTGACATATAGGGGTTAGAAAAGTCAGGTCTGTTCAAAAAATTGGAAATGAGAAAGAAGGCTTGTAATGTGAATGTAGCCTTAATTCAACCCTGTCCCAGCTTTTTTTGGAATGTGTTGCAGGCATCAAATTTGGAAAATATTCTCTCTTTTGTGCTATTTTCAACTGAATACTTGTAAAAGAGTTTACAAATCACTGCTTTGTTTTTATTAACATATTACCTACTGTCCCAAATTTTTGGTTTTGGGTTAATACATCACAGTACAGAAGGGGAATGAGTTACCATTCAATCCTACCAACACACTATACAAATAAAAGTGAAGTAAGTTAAATGAAGCAGGTTCACGTATTAAAACATTATGCTTACCTTCATGTAGAGCTCTCGCAGGTGGTAGTAGAACACTCGACTCGACAGGCAGCCGAAACAAAGGTACGGACTCAGACCGGTGGGGTTAGCGAACAGCGAGTGGGCATTTATTCGAGGCCGCTCAAAACTCGCAACCCAGGCCTAAATAAACAACAAGCAAATACAGATTAAAACTCTAGGTTTAAATAACAAACTTACTGGATGGACAAAGTGACTCACCTTTCTGTCCAGGTGTTTATTAAGTCTCTCCAGAGCCTCCGTTTCACCTCCCTTCCATACTGGTGTGACGTCTCCCTGATTCTTAAACCCTGAGAGAGGAAACACCACATATTGAACACACAATTCATGTATTATCCAGGAGGAGTGTATTTTTCATGTGTGATAAAATATCCCACATATTGATATATCTGCAATAATAATCCACAATCAGGATCGTAATGAAATATAGCCCACTGCCGGCAGGAAAGACGATTATGATTACGCAACCTTTATGTAACAAGGTTATCACACATGTAGCCGGTTCAACGGTTAAAAGGAGAACCTGTTAATTAAGGCTGTGGGTGAAACTGATTCTGTCTATTCAGTGTGCACTCAGCACTGCTCATATACTAACACTTTACAACCTGCTCAGTCAGAATGGGCTGTGAAGGCCTTGAAACTCACACCTGCACCTCCACGACTGCAGGTGTATTTGGTTGATTATGTCAGAAGACACATGAAAAGACACGATGGAAAGGAGAACGTTCCAGTTCAGTCCCACCCCGCCCACATTTTTCTTCAGTCCCAGCACAGCTGATCCAGTTATCAGGTGGCCATTTTAACAGCCGGATAAAGCCAAAAATGTGGACTGGATCTGAAATCCCTGCACACTGGGACCCAAAGGTCTGCCTGCTTTGAGAAAAGTATGTAGTGAAACTGTTTTTAATTAGAAGTCTAGAAATAAACAGATCATAATAGGCCTAAAAAACAGGGCGATGTAACCACTCCAGTAAAACAACCAAGCTAAAGTGACTGGGTTTCATTCTACAGCAGGCACCTCTGCTCAGATCAGAAAAAGATAACAAATAATACTGAACATATGTACAAAATGTTTTATGCATTTTTACTGTTAAAACTGGGTTATTAGGAGCTGTAAAAAGCTGTCAGGTTGTGCTAAAGTAAATTCCTCACCGTCTCTGCTGCAGCGTGCGATTAACAGCTCAGGAACTGATCTTAACCTGGTGGTTAAGATCAGTTAAATTACAACACTATTTTCAAAAAAAGTTGGGATTTGGTGCAAAATGTAAATGTTTTTAGCATTACACAACTTTACCAGACTTTGTTGCCCCTGTCCCAGAATGATTTGCACATCATTGTATTCTGTTTTTATTTACATTTTGCACAGTGTCCCAACTTTTTTGGAAATGGGGTTGGATGAAATTTTAATGAAAATATTATATTTGTTTTCCAAAGGCCTCCACAGCTAAACTATAAGCTATAAGGACAAAAAAATAACTTTTCTTTTTTTTTTTTTAATGAAACACGTAGGCATGGCTTTGCAAATCACTCAGTTACAATTTAATGTGATTTTTCTTAAAGACTTTCATTAAAACAGTATATGCTCACAAAAAAGCATATAAACTACAAATATAAAAGATTGTTGGTTGGGGTGGGCATATAATTCATATAATTTTTTTTTGAAAAGGAGAAAGTTCTGTTCTTGTTCCCTGTATTATATTTATTTGTATTTATTCTAATGATATGCAGAGGTTTTACAAGCAAAAACGCACTTACTGGCAGGACAAATGGTTTTAAACAGTTTGCTTAGGTGCCTTTTGCACAGTCCAGTCCAGCTGCGGAAGGAAATTTAATGTGTAAATGAGTAAATGTAAATGCGGTCTCACCCAGCTCCTCCAGTGAGGGCACGCTGTAATGCTCATCATGATTGTCAGCGATTTGCGTCCGGCAGCTGGCCATCTGCTCCTGTGTGATTGTGGGCAACGGCTTCTTCGGAAGCTCCAGCCGGTTCACTATGGCCTGAAAGCGTTTGAAGGTGAGTGGAGGGCTGTTACTGTTCATCTCGATGATCCTGAAGAAAACACACAACAGCATTAGTTGGTACATTAGTCAGTTGTACTTCCAATTCCTGGCCACTTTATTAGAAACTCCTACCTTGTGTTTTCACACACTGGTCACTTTATTAGAAACACCTAACTTGTGCTTTCACGCACTGGCCACTTTATTAGAAACACCTAACTTGTGCTGTCAATAAACTGGTCACTTTATTAGAAACACCTACCCTGTGCTTTCAATAAACTGGTCACTTTATTAGAAACACCTACCCTGTGCTTTCAATAAACTGGTCACTTTATTAGAAATACCTACCTTGTGTTTACACTAACGAGCCACTTTATTAGAAACACCAACCTTGTACATCCACTAACTGGGCAATTTATACGAAACACCTCCCTTGTCTTTCCACTAACTGGCCAATTTATTAGAAACACCTGTCTTGTATTTCCACTCACTGGCCACTTTATGAGCTATACTGGTAAGAGTATCAGCTGGGGATTTTACACACGTCAGTGTCCAGCCAAGAGCAGCTCTGAGGTCAGAAACTGACCACTGATGAAGGGTTAGAGGACAGCAAACTGTGCAACAACAGACGATCTACAGTCTCTAACTGTACACCAGGAGGTGGAGTTACAAAGGAGAGGTTTTAATAAACAGCTGGTGAGTGTAGATATTACTGTAACTACAGTTACTGCAGTTACTACTAATAACCTCAACAATGTGGTAAAAATACAATCTATTACCAAAATAACCTTCAGGCCAGTACATTCTTACGGGACACGATTAATGAATGCATTTTCACTTTTTACTGCATTTTCCAGTTTGACCAGGTCACGGCACGCCATTCATTATCTATGCTGATAGTGTCTATCACACATTCCTGCATCTCTCACCCTCTTTCATCGACCAGAACGGCCACTGTCGGCCTCTTATTTATAGTCCTGATCTTATACAACGCCCCTCTATATCTGGGCGGGAGACAGCACGTGTTATTGGCTGATTTCCTTGGCGCCGTTTGGAGTCAGGAGGCTGCCATGTGTCTGGATGCGCCCGCGTGCAGGCAGCACATGTCCGCGACTCTGGATTACACACACTGTTATTCCACTCTCCTCCCCTGAACACGCCAGCAACCCGCCCACGGCACATGCGGCTCAGTGTGACCTGCAGTTACACCCGTCCGCCACCCGGTGGCGGCAGTGTGGCTGAGAGTGAGGACAAAGTGCTTCAAATTACACACACACAAAAAACCTGTTGGTGTTACTATACTTCTGAGTACTTCCACTGGATTCAAGGTTACTATAGCTAAATATTGCTGCCCATAGGCCTAAACCTAAACCTGATCTCAGCCTCAGAAACCAAAAGGGAATCTTTTGGCTTTTGTTTTGTTTTTTTAAAGGCAGTATTTGTGATGGAAAACACATGGATTGAGCAATGTCTTTTAATAAAGAGTGATATTTTTCTGAAGACATCTGGTCCTCACAAAAACCCCAAAGACACACACTCTGAGCTGGATATATTAAACACATCAATCACATTTATATAATAGCAATCACCTGCTATAGTTCAAGCATTATGAATACGCTAGTGCTCTCTCTGGTCTGGACAGTGCAAAGCAAGTTATATAAAACAGCCACCGCTGTTCGTCATTCCCTTTCATTGAGTAACACTTTACAGCAGCACGTGCCACTCCTGGCGTTACGCGTCACTACATCATGCTGCTGCACACTGTGATTCACTGGCAGGGCTGAAAAACATAGCTAGAAATTCATATCACAGTTATTCAGCCACTTCAGGAACAGCTCTACTTCATTTTACTGCCATTTTATCCTATTCCTTCAAGTGTATACATCTCAGAATCAAAATAAGACGAATACATAGTGACAATTTCCCGAAGGATTATGTTTAACTGTGGAAGCCAAAATTCGTGACCACATTTAAAGGAGAGAGAATTCTACTAATTTTTCAAACCTTCTGCATAATTTAAACACTTGTTGCACTGTAAACAAAGTCATATATTAGTTTTGATGTGAGGCAGTTCATTGTAGAGACTCTTACGGACTATTTCTTTTTACTACACTGTTAGAAATAAAGGTTCTCTGCAGGTACATTTTTTTGTTCATCAAGGTACAAACAATGTAAATGTTCTCTCAAAAGGTACAACAGTGGTTTTAAGGTCCAACTGTGAACCTTAAATAAGTTTTTCCAGGTGAAAAGTTCGTATTTGTACCTTTTCATAACCGAATGTTTTAAAACAGAACAGTAAAATAAAAGCCTGGAGACGAGACGGGGTGTGTGGAGTCAGTACAGCTTAGAGAATATCATTTCAGTGGATTATGGTACAGTTCTGTTCCCTGACTAAAGGTACTGAGATGTACCCTTGAGGGTATCACCACCCCAGTGACAAGAGGGGGACTGCCCCAGTGACAGTTTAGTACATTTATTTCTATGAGTGTGGTTGTGACAAGGGGTTGCCAGATCTATAACACAAATACAGACATTTTATTTACTATCCAAAACAACCAGTGAACCTACACGTGCCTTCTCAGCTTATATATGTAATGTTGATGGTAAAATAGTGGAAACTCTGAAAGTGCCAAGTTTGCTTCAGAGACTATTTTGCAACAAAACACCCCTCACAATGCTGGTGATGGTAAAATAGGGATAAATCTGGGGACTATTTCGCACTTTCTCTCAAACTGCTGAAAACAATGTCTCAGTCTTCAGGCAGAGTATTCATAACCATTTTGTCTAATAACTTTGTGAGGGAGCTTTTGGAGGTGGACGTCTGGTTCCCATCACCACCACTGTGAACAATTCTGAAGTTTCTCTCGAACGGACCATTTCACACCAAACCCCTCTGAACAACACAGTTTACATATTATCTAATTAATTATGCAGAAATTTTGAAAAAAAAAAAAAAAATTGGTGGAATTCTCCCTCTAAAATATGATTGTGAAGAAATTAAATTACTTATTGCTTTAATCGGAGACAAAATCTGATAATGAGGGAAGTATGTAACTCAGTACAAGGTTCAAAACCAACCTGGATTAGATAAAATATCTAATAAAAAATTAAGTCTGCAGCCTATGAATATATTTTTATTCCTCTGCTGGAGTTTTATCATTTCATTCACGTAAACATTCTAAAGTCTATTAGAAGTGCTTACATAATTATTAACTACCAAGCGCAGACACGTGGCCCAGGTTAGACGCGCACGTGATTACGATAAACTCTGTTTATAGAAATCACAGAGTACACCTCAGTGTGGAGAACTCTGAAGAAACAGACTGTACATATGACTGACTGATGTCAAAGTGAGTGAGCAAGATCAGAGTACTGTGCAAAAGTCAGAGACCACCTTTCATTTATCTCTTTTCCGCGCAAAAAACAGCCATTAAGCACAAATTATTCATTTTTCAGGAGATATTTCTGAGGAAATTAGATATGAGACACTCCACTTACATAGGGTAGGAGCAAGTCAAAGTGAAAAAACAGGAGTTTCCAAAACTGGAGCTTAAACTGCCCCCATCAGATAAGCAGCACTTAAAGCTCTCATCTTTGAGAGAGAGGAGAAAATCAAGCTGCTTCAGATCTGAAAACATCCACAGGTGTTTCTGTCCATCCTTCCACTGTGAGAAGACGACTCAGTGCTGTGGGTCTGAAAGGATGTGTAGCTGTCAAGAAGAACCTCACTGAGAAAAGGAGACGGACACATCAAACAAAGAAGCTGAACAATGGACTGACCACCCCAGAGTCCAGACCTCAACATCACTGAATGGGTTTGATTACTTCAGAAAATGATCAACCAGCTTCTAAGACTGAACTTTGGAGGTGTGTCTGCAGATTCTTTGAGGAACTGAAAGTGAGTCTCCTGAAAAGAATGGAAGCTGGAATGAAGGTAAAGAGTGACTCACTGAAAACACTGATTTTATATATTAGTTTTTGAGGCTTCTGTGTAATTTTTATCTTTTCCCAGATGCAAAAAAAAACAAAAACAAAAACAAAAACAAAAACTTGTACTTAATGGCCATTTTGAATGGAAGCTCAGGGGTCTCTGAGTTTTGAACAGTACTGTATGAGTGTTGTTTCACCCACCTGTCTGGACTGTAGAGCGTGTGAGAGTTCCTCACTATCGTCTCCACACCGAACTCCTGAGCGATCTTAACGATGGCCCCATCTCGATCCTTTCCGTACGGCTCTGGGTCATACTCAAAGGTCAACCGGGTCACATTCCACTCCTGAGAGAGAGAGAGCGAGAGAGAGAGAGCAAATCAACAATGGAGTGAGACAGACACATAGAAAAAAAATGGCAGAAAGAGAAAGAGAGAACAAACGAGTCCAAAAGAAACAGACAGCAGAGAGAGAGAGAGAGAGAGAGAGAGAGAGAGAGGAAATAAAGAAAGTTAGAGAAATAGACAGGAAAAAAAGAGAGGAAAGACAAAGAACGAACAATGAAACACAAAAGGCAAAAAGAAAGCAAGACAGGAGGACACACAGACAGAAAGAAAAAAAGACAAAAGGAGGAGCCAGAATGAAAGAATAAATGAACGAAAGACAGAAATAAAGACAGCAAAGAAGAAAAGATAGGAAAAAAGAAGGAGGTAAGGAGGAAAGAAAGGCAAAAAGAAAGAAAAGATAGAAAAACAGAGAAAGAAGGGAAAGAAAACAGAATGAAAGGAAGAAACAGAAGGAACGAATGAAAAATAAAAAAAACACGAGAGAGGGAGAAGCAGAAAGAGAGAAAACAGACAAAAAGAGAATGAAAAAGAAAGACAGAATGAATGAAAGAAATAAAAACAGATAAAAGAGAAGGAGAGAAAAGAAAGACAAAAAAGAATTTAAAAAAAGAATGAAGAAGAGAAAAAGAAAGAAAGAAAGAAAAAGAGAATTCAGTTGACTTCAGAAGGAAGAGCTGCTGTGATTGAATCCTCTGATTCTGAGAGAAATGCTTGACGCTGATGTTGTCAGCTCTGGTCTGAGAGCTCTTTCGAGCCTCTTTCATGTGGTCACAAAGCAGAGAACTGGATGAAAAAGTGATCAGACTGATGAAGTAAAGTGCCGGCGTGACGATGTCACTGAGACTAAACCCAAAAAGCAGAAGCGTACGGCTGCTGTCACAACGAAACCTCTGAGACTTTACAAGAAGAACTGAAAAAACATTCAGAACTCGAATGCATGTTAATGTAATCAGTGTTCGCTCAGTGTAGAGAGCAGCTGGAGTTCTCACCCGGAGGAAGACAGTGGAGTTTAAACACTGTTTATAACCTGAAAATAATGTGTATGAAATATTAATTCAGCTTCAAGATCTGATCACAGCAACATAAACATCCTTTTTATGTTATGAAGGACAGCCAGACACTAAAGGTGGGGCACCATCAGCACTGAGTTCACTATAAAAAATGATGTATTAATAACACCACACTTAACTTGTGTTACCTGTTTTAACAAATTCTGCGTTGAAAGTGACACAAAATGTGCCGTCTCCAACTGGACACACTGGTGTGTCCATTCAGAGAGAGAATGTGGTGTTTTTAACAACTGGTAACTGGAATATTATAAAGTTTTCGCTGTTTTAATATTCTTTCAGACTCCCACTGATGTTTTCTATGACTGCTTGCTTTCACTGGCTGAAATGGGCTTTTATCCTCTGTGCTCACCCCATGCAGACATGAAGAAGCCGCGGAGAGTCTTGCATAAACAGGCTCAATGCGATGATGACGACATCAACCTGCCCACCTGCTCCCCCTTAATACACATCAGGGATGAACACATGCACACGCTTCACTGTGAGCCAGCACAGCTCACCATTATATTAAAACAAGTTCAAGTCCAATTTGAACACGTTTGGAAAAACAAATACATATAAATTGTTGTATCCATCAAATTTGCTTAGGAGAGAGTCATTTTAAAATATGCTTGATCATAGAAATTATCCACTATCACTGTAGATTCATCAAGAAAAGTGAATTTTAAGCAATAATTACCTTAATCGAGTTTAACTCATATAAAAGTCCAGTAAGTTTTGTATGAGTATGTAACTCTTGTATTTTACTCACAGCTTTTCTTTGCTGGAAACGACCTAGCAGAACATTCAAGTGTAAATTTTTCGAACTACACGACTGTGTGTACACTGTGTCATAGCACAAATTAAAATATTGTAGCACAAAAACCCCAAAAATACATCTATAAAGGCAAAAATCCCAAAATGTAGAATTAGGAAAATAACAGAAACAGCATGTAAAATCATTTTAATATTCATTTTGTGAACGAGTTCACTTTGTCCACAGTAATTTACATCCACACAAGGGGATGCAACTTTTAGAACTGAAGTTGTGTTTTGTGCTTCACTGAAAGGGAGGAAACCCACACCAGCAGGAGCACACAGAAATGCATGTATGGTTGTAGAAATAACCTCAATCCCATTTCTTATTTTTACTCCTGCCCTTGTTTTCAAATGTCACCTTGTCCCTTGGAACGGAGTTACAAGGGGAAGTGGCTGAAATCTTCCCTATAAAATGGGACCCTCAAATAAAAAAAGAGCGTTACTTCATTAACAGCTACTAGAGCTGCTCTGTAGGTGGCCCTGCCAGTCTGCAGTGATAGCAGAGAAGGGGAAAATTCAGCTCCTCACTGCTGGGCTTTAGTTAGGGCATCATTTGCCATTATTTATTATCGCTCACCCCTAATTCTTCGGTGACATGAAGACGAATTCAGCTCTTTGTTAGCTTCTTGTTTGAATTGTACCGTTCCGCCTTAAATGGAGCAGCTGTTACATTCTGGCACTTCAAGCATTGTCCAGTTGTTCTTTTTTTCTCATAACTTTCTGTTTGGTCTCTGAAAAACCTCTGTTTGGAAGGCCATGTAGCCCTAACACTTCACCTTACCCCTCTATCTCAACAACAATCGGGACACCCAATCCCTAGGCGTGAACGCACACGAGGGCTAAGGGTTTTGTGGTAGGAGTGAGGGGTGAAACGGGATTGGGCCATGCATTTCAAAATAAGAAGAAAAACAGTTTATTAGGTAAGGCTCAGTGCTTTTTTTTCCCCATGTAATCAGCCAATCCCAAAAATGATACAGGCTAAATAGCACAATGGCAGCCTTTGGCCTGACTTATTCAGCAGGTAATGGTAAAATCATTCCCTTCACCTGACTACAACTTCGCAAGTCCTCTACTCATCTGCTTTCCAACACCTCTGACAACGGTGGAAGGTTATTAGCAGTTTTTGTGGTTCTCCATTCAATTTCAGTGACAGAAGGTGATGAGAGGAATTAGCTGTGGCACTATAATAACAGAGACGCTGATGTATCAAAGCTTTTTCAAAGCTTCTAATTTTTTGAGGTGGTCTTCAACCAAAATATCCCCCAAGAAGGACTTGTGATGACCCAATTTTCACTCCTGATGTAAGAAAGAACATCATGACACCTTGGCTAATAAGCTCCTATTTTAACCCTCCTGTTATCCTCAAATTTACTGGCATCTTTTATCCATGGGGTCAATTTGACCCCAGCAATTTAAACCTCCACGTGGTCCTTGCACTGCTACAGGTGTGGTTATGTTAGGTTAGGTTGAGGCTAACCTTAAACAGGAACTTTTTTTTTTTTTTCTGAAGATTACAAAATTGAATGTTATAGTTACCTCAATATCATCCAAAACAAACATGTATAAAATGTTGATATTCCTTATGTTTCATACAGCTAAAACAGTCAAACTGACCCCAAAGAAAAATGATGATGTGTACAAAATGTGTACAGGACACTGAAAACATCATGTTAGTTTTATGTTTACCCAGTTGTTCTCATAAAATTAGGAAACGTCATTAAATATGAAGGAATACGAAAAAAATGATGTCAATAATTATATTGAATGGGCTCAAATTGACCCCAAAGGTAATAGGAGGGATAATAAGACACAAGCCTGAAGCGTTTTGTCCTGAGGGTGCGTTCTCTAGCCAAAAACAATCCACTAACTCAATTCAAACAGCGAAAACAACAGGGACCTGAAAGGACATAAAAGCAGCAGTGAGGAGAAACTGTCTCGCAGGTGTCTTTACCTAAACTGTTACAAAAGGTTTTGGGGAAAATGAAGACTTAAAGCCATGATTCAGAATGTTATCAGTGCAAACAGCATAGCATTATTGTCATAAACAGCACTCACAGGGCTGGGCTTCATCCTGGAAATGGCAAAGTGCTGCGATAAGACTGAGAGCAAGCTGTTGTTTTCTCCTAAAGTCACGTTTATGAAAGATATTTTATAAGAGGTGAGCAATTTGACAGTATTTATTGTTGTGTTTTCCAGAGCTGTTGTGGATATTGTCAATACTTAAAAACACTAAACAACCACAACAGGGTCTTTGTCACGAAACGACCTCAAACTACGTCCATAAATATCTGAGTGTCATAATCACACAGACAAACAACATTCATTTAGTTTAGTAGATTAATTCGCACTCAATATGATATTTTTCATTTTTAAAGATTTTTTTTGCTTTTTTTTCAACCTTAATTCTCATTACTCCAATGTGCCCACAAATCTGTTTCTCATTACTAATAAACGTATTTCTTTTTTTAAATGTTGTTTATATTTTTTATTACTTATCTTCAAATCTTGCTGTTTGATTACAGAGAATTTGGTCACTTATTTTGGAAAATATTACTAAAAGTACATTTTTAATTTAATTAAATCATTCAGGTTTATTCCATATCATTCCACCAGGTATCACTGCTTGTATATCCAAAGTATATCCATATAATAATAATAATAATAATAATAATAGGTTTGAATGATTTTAATTCTTTCAAGCTGGGTCCCAGTATTTGTCATATTTGTGAGATTAACTACCTTTTTCATCATAAGGAGAGAGGAATTAATCCTATTTAACTGGATTCAGTTTAGTGTATGAATCACAGTATTCATAATTACTAATGCTATAGTGTTTTTTAGCTCTATTAGTTCTTCATCTGTTCCAAATATTGGGATACATACTGAGTATAGAAGAAATGTCTTAAAGCACTGATATATTTTGCCATTTTTCCTGCCCCATAAATACTGACTATATCCACGATATACTCAGAAAAACACACTACTTTATCATATTTATCATAATATTAATAAATATCGTCCATCTATCCTCAGCAATGCCAACATCAATGATAGTTTCCTGAAAATGCTCATATCAAAACCTTCATAAAGCGATTAAAAGTTTAGCCAAAAAAGCTAATGTCACTAGCAATTCATGAAAATCTAGTTCAGTCTAAAAAACGTCGCAAACAATGAATGTGTTTTTAACTGAACTAAAAAGGTTGCTAAAATTTAATGAAACAGTCAAAAGCTAATGCAACTGACAATGAATGAAGGTTTAGTTCAGTCGAAACAGCTAATGTTGCTAACAATGAAACTGCTCAGTCAAATAGCTAAGGTTTCTAGCAATGAATGTAAGTTTAGTTTAGTTAAAAACTAAAGCTGCTAAAAATGAAAACTGTTCAGTCAAAATAAGCTAAGGTCACTAAGAATAAATGACAGTTTAGTTCAGTCAAAAAAGCTAAATGTTACTAGCAATTAATAAAAATCTAGTCTAGTCAAAAAAGCTAACGTTGCCAACAATGAATAAAAGTCTAGTTCAATCAAATAAGCTAATATCGCTAACAGTGACTGAAAATGCTCAATCAAAATATGCTAAAGTTGCTAACAATGAATGAAAGTCAATAGCCAGAAACGAACATTATGAAAATAAAGTCATGCTAATTGGTAGCTAGCAGTTTCCATTAGTTGTTAGCCATGACGTGCGGTAACCTACATCTGTGAGGCTGTAGGGTTTAGACGACACTGTTAGGAATAGTTTTCACCATCAGCCTCACAACTACAGTCCTTCATCTTCATCAGTCAGTCTGAATTTAATGTGGAACAGCTATTATAAGGTAGCGGGCAGAGGGAAACAGGCCAAAGCTGACTGCTGAAGGAGAGACTCTGACACTTACCCCATATTATGGGCTTTAATTAAAACGGCCAGTGCCAGAGCAGCGTCACTGCACTGAATCCATCAGCCTGGAGGATGTCCACCACACTGATCAGGAGGTGGACCAGCGAAATTCTCACCCACACATTTCCCCAGCCCATGGCACGGGCCACTATCACAGGAGCAAGCAGAGCTCCGTATTATTGTTGTAAATACCCCATAATTTACTCTACATACTGGATATATGCCTGTTTTGTGATGACCTTTAGGACTTATTTGTCTTGTATTTAAACATATTTATTAATTGAATACTTATGCACCAATTTAGCCAAGATTAATGCCTCATGTGTCCAAGTGTACCTGGCCAGTAAAGTGATTCTGATGACCAAACTGCTCATAATTACCTTTTTTTTTCAGGATATATTCCAGTAAGAGTCGACCCCAAAAGCCCTCCCAGTCACTAAAGGCTGGTTTCCCTAAGACTAGGACAACCAGAACTACATCAATAGTGAAAATCACTTCTAGAACCAAGTCACATTTAGCAAAAACCCAAAGTTTTGCATTTGACAGCCAAATGACCAAATCTACTGCACTGTATGATCAATTCATTCAGTGAAGTGAACTGGAGCCTTAGAGGGTAAAGGCTAACAGACAGAGACAGTTAGATAAAGATTCATAAACTGACCTTGAACAGCCTGGGAAACACATCTGCGGGCTGCCCTCGCACCACGAACAGCCTCGAGTTGAGTTTCCTTAAACACGTGTCCAGATCCTCTAATGACTCCAGCAAAAACCTGTAAGGTTACAAAAAATGACAACTCTTAGTCTAAAGACAATGTAAAAAAAATGATCTGACTCTACTTTCATAAACTCAATCATTAACTGGCCCCGGTGACCAGGCCTGACCCATGATCCAGTAGTAAACTTACATAGTTAAATCATGCATTGCCTTCTTCGGTGCTTCAATTCAGACATTAAAAAAAGGTTTAATTCTTAGGGGGACACTTACCCAGGCCCGTACTAAGACTAAGCCTGGGCTACAAAAGATTTTCCAGGCTTATAACCAGTTGAATTGCAATTTATGCCAAGACTAGACTTCATCTGCAGTCTGAAGGCTGGTTTCCCAGACACGGATTAAGCCTAGTAATGGACTAAAAAGAAGTGCCAATTGTGAATCACCATTGAAAATTCTTCTCAGTCCAGGATTAGCCTTAAACGCCCATGTCCTACATTTCTCTTGTATTTTTATTTCCCACTAAGGTCCATATGGGACGCTTGTGTGGTTTTATGTACCAAAAACAGTCATAATTCATTTTGACATCACCATTTTCCAACCTCTCTTTATCCCTCAGCATTAAACAGGCTGTTTGTGTTGTTGTACTTTTGTTGTACATAAAAGACTGATAAATGTAAACAACCACTGTTCTGTCCTGTATTCTGCATTCAGCAATTCAAAAAGCAGCCCAGGTTGAAACATTCCTTATAACCTCTATGTCAACAGGCAAATGTATGTTAATGTAAAGGTATTTTTGTGACATCATATAAACAATGAGTTTTAAACAGGCTGTTTCTGCACTGTATGGACTGGAGAGAAAACTGAATATTTTGCAATTTGAACAATATTTATGTTCTACATCAAACTCCTATTTCAAAAAACTGAGAACAATTTGGTTTTCCATTACATGGGCCCTTTAACATGGGTCTGCGAAATCAGCCCTGTATAATCAAGACACTTATGACATGAAATGTTTAGAATATGCTGCCTGATGTCTGAGAATATTTTGAGACAGGATTCTGGCCAAAGATTTTTTTAATCCATTCATAGCAAAATGGTAAATGCAGGGCATTGTAAGGCAAAACTGTACTCATATAATCCTTTTTTCCCCCAAATTTATCACTATTTTACCATCATTAACATATAAACACTCAGAAGACATGTGTAGGTTCACTAGTGATTTTGGACAGTAGATAAAACTATATATTTATATAAAGCATTTATATAAATACTATATTTGCATTGTAGGCATGGCGACCCCTGGTTCCTATCACCACCACTGTAAAGAAATCTGAGTCAGTAAGTTTCTCTACAAACCATTTCACATCAAACCACTCTGAATGACTCTGTTTACATCTCAACCTCAAGTCTGTTGGATTTACTGCACTATTTGGGTGCAGAAACTGTCATTTCCTGATCTATGTGGAAACCTACTAGGAATGCACCAATAAAATACATAAAAAGTATTGTGTTATATCACTACTAGTGCGTTAGATTAGGGCACCATAAAGCACAGCTTTTGTTTAGTGTTTCTGTGCTGCTAAGAAACCAGTGTGAATGGATCTAAACTCCACTGCACCGTTCTAAAGCCTCAGATACTGTGCAATAAACTGTAAACGGAAACATCACATTACCATTAACATACCTGCTTATTTATGCTGTTTTAATAAAATGTAGTGAATCGAGATTCTACTGCCTGGCATCGAACTTAAATCTTGTGAATCATTCCATCTTTATGACCTATGCACCCTTACAAAAGATGGTTCTTCAAGGGTTCTTTAGAAAAAGCAATGGTCCAACTCCAAACCATGAGCTCTATATAGAAGCATTTCATGCTCATATGACCCTTTGCATGGTGAAATGGTTCTACACAGCACCAAAAGAGATTCTTCTAGCTTTATAGACTTGACATTGTAATAAGAGCAGAACCCTTTCTGATGCTATATAGAACCATATACAGCACAATCTCTATCAATCTGAAGAACCGTTTCACCACGCAAAGAACCATTTAAGCATGCAAAATGGTCCTATATAAAACTCACGGCTCTCAATGGAACCATTGCCTTTACTAAAGAACCCTTGAAGAACGTAGCAGGGCCGCTTGAAACTCAGCAGTCACGTGACATAGTTAGCAACCAACTTCATTAATTTTCACTCCCTTTATTTTGGTCATTTGTGTCCACTGCACCGGCCGGCATATAATACTGAAAACAGAATGACGCAGAAAACAGTGAAATCAGAAATTCGTGGCGTTACATAAAAATCCAAGTGACCAAGTGGGCGTGAGCAACGCGGCTAGTCCGAGTTAGCCTCTCAGCTCCTTTTCTGAATTAATTATTAATACATTTATGTCATAAATCGTCGAAGGGTAATGCGGGATGATCAATAAAACGTTAAATTATGTCGTTGTTACTAAAAACGTTAAGGTGGCGTTGCTGATACAGCTAGCTAACCTAGGTTAGCTAACGAAGCAACGTGTGGCTAAGGCTAAAGCTATGTTTGGGGTCTAGATACAAAACATAGAAACGGATTTTGTTTACATCTTGTAAATCTTTATTCTTGTGGATGTAAATACGCAGGATTTCGCTCGTATGAGCAGAAACGCCTTACTTAGCTATCTAACTTAGCTTGGGCAACCAGGCGTAAATTCGTTTCTTATCCGCCAGCTTTCTAATTCCATTTTACGTTCCACCTTAAATGGCGCAGCAGCGGAGAGGCGGCGTACATACGCAAGAATGCAGCTGCCGCACCATTTAAAGTGGAACGGAATATTCGGATTAGAAGCTGGCTAATAATAAGAAGCTATCCTCAGCCTAGTGCTTAGACAGTGGATTGGCTGTTGCTGCATCAGCTAGGAAGGTAGTTGGGGCCTTATAATATAAACCCAGGCCGTTTTATACTACCTTGCATTCCAAAGGTATAAGTAATATAATGGCATTTAAAGGGGAATTCCACCGATTTTTCTAGATGTGTGCATAAGTTAGTGTTTAAGATGTAAACAAAGTCATTCAGAGTGGTTTGGTGTAAAATGCTCCTTTCTAGAGAAACTTGTTGAGTTAGTATTGTTCAGTGATGGTGATTGGAACCAGACGTCCACCTCTAAAAGCTCCCTCACAGAAGATTGATATAATGGCTCTATAATTACGAATATGCTGCCTGATGCCTGATGTTGTTTTACTTACGTTTCTAGAGAAGGATTCGGCCTAAAGCTTATACTTTTAAAAGCCATTAATGACAGAGGGGTACATGCAAGGCGTTGTGAGGCATAATAGCCCACAAAGATAATGTATTTTTCCAGAGTCATCATTTTAACATATAAAACCTCAGAAGAGACGTGTAGGTTCACTGGTGGTTTTGGATAGTGAATAAAATGGCTATATCTGTGTTGTAGACATGGCAACCCCTGGTTCCTATCACCACCACTGTAAAGAAATCCGAGTCACCAAGTTCCTCTACAATGAATCCTTTCACATCAAACCACACTGAATGACTCTGTTCACATCTTAATGATTGAATTACACAGAAATTTAGAAAATTCTGTGGAATTCCCATTTAACGCTGCGCGATGTGGGCCAGTGTGGTGCGTAGAGTAGTGTATTACCAGTGTATCCGACTGCGCATGCGCATATCAATTAGTATAACATAGTAACTTAGTGTTTTAAGCGTTTTATAGTGGTTCTAATGTTAATTCAGTACAGACTCCGCTTAATATGACTATTTACGCCCTGATAACCTTTAGGCTATCAAAAAAAATCCTGATTATTATTTTAACACTGATGTTTTCTGATAAGGCCATTCAAACTATCCTGCCTGTAGTCTTAATACGAGGCTGGAGTTGGCTTCCTACTCACTAGCTTCTTGCTCAGGTTTCCCTTTCCACCTTAAATGGTGCAGCAGTTACATTCTGGCTGCACCATTTAAGGTGGAACGGGAAAATTCTAATAGGCAGCCGACTTTAGCTTCATCAGAACACCGGCTAGCCGTCACCCACAAACGGCTGCCAGAGTGCAAAACCACGCAGCGTTAGCGAAGCGCACTGACCTCCATCGGTTCACCCCAACGTTGGCCGAACCGGCGAACCACGGATCCAGAATGTAAACGCAGCGCACAGTGTCGGCGCCGTTCAGCGCTTCCTGCAAAGCCGGATTATCGTGGAGCCGCAGCCCTTTTCGAAACCAGTGCACGGAGTTCACCACCATAATCGCGCCTTAATCCGTCCTACGACATCCGTCCGAAGCGAGGCGAGCCTCAAAAATGCTGAAAAAGTCCAGGTCGGGTCGCGCTGAGCGTTTCCTCCCACTACAGCCTCATTAGTCCCCGTACTGTTGTTATTGTTGTTGTGGCTTCCACCAAGTTTCTCATCAGCAGCGACGCTGGCACCCACCAGACGTGATGACACAACTGCGCGTACCCGTCCCCTCCTCCTCTCATTGGTCGGAGCGTCCGTACGTCACAGGGGTATTAAAATAACCGCGCTGCCATTGGCTGCTCGGCGTGTGCACGCCCCGCCCTATCACGTTTTCTCCGTATGTCGAAAAACAGAAAGTGTCCGTTTTCTGATTTGAATATCCAAAAACAAGAGCTCGTTCGGCGTCGGCTAACAACGCGTTATAAAAATGCATTTAGAGCGGACCAAATCGCGCGTGTTCATTATGCAACGTAGCTCATTTGCATACGGGTTTATGAATATGCAATAGTGTGACGCACGTCGTTGAAATGTACGGAGAAACCCAACACTCGCTCACTTCAGCATCAAGTACTTTATGTCCTTCCGCCCTCTGCTGGTTAGTTTTGGCACTACATATTTTGCTTTCAGGTTTTGTAACTATTATAATCTGGAGTTCTTATTTTCCTTTGAATATCAAATGATGTTGGCGTTTTTACAGAAAATAAATAATTAAAACACACAGAAATCCAGAGTTAGAAAAATTAATGGCTTTATAATTGGCTCAGCTCCACGGTGGACATCATAGGGTGAAGTAAGGTACTTGTTGTCTAACACTGGCTTGAGTTAAACTTGTGGCAACTTATCTGGTTACAGCTATGTATTTGAGTTATATTATATCATTTCTGTCCCTGGATTCCTTGAGAAGTGAATATTCATGTGAAAAATGGAAAAGAAATTTGCGTATTTGTGATTGTGACATTTACCAGCTCCTCTAAAGGGGATTTTTTCTAAATTTCTCCATAAGTTTATTGGTAAGATATAAACAAAATCATTCAGGGTGGTTTGATGTGAATATTCTGTTCTAGGGAAACTTATCAAATTAGAATTGTTCACAGTGGTGGTGATAGGAACCAGACGTCTGAAAAGTTGAATGCCTCTAAAAGCCAAAAAAGTGTTTACATTTAATCTTTATGAATATGCTGCCTGATGAGATAAACTTTTGGGCCACAATGTACTTTTTAAAATCCATTAATGATGGAAAGATGCATGTGGTGTGATATAAGGTAAAGTAGTTCCCAATTAAACTTTTTGTTTCTGGATTTACCACTATTGTACCATTATAACATTACTTATAAACACTCAGGAGACTCGTGGAGGTTCACTGGTGGTTTTGGATAGTAAATAAAATGGCTATATTTGTGTTGTAGTCATGGCAACCCCTGGTTCCTATCAGATGACTTTACAGTGGTGGTGAGTCATAAAGTTGGCAATGAACCATTTCAAACCAAACTGCTTTTAATTAATGTGTTTATATCTCAATGATCTAATTATGCATACATTTTGAAAAATCAGTGGAATTTATCTTTAAGTTTGGTCTGTAGTCTCACAGCTTTTCAGAGTATCACTACTGTTCTACGATCAGATTCCTGGATGTTTACTGTGCTCTTAGTCACAAGAGGCTGACTATAAACCGTAACCTTAAAGCCCTCTGAGCTCAACTTTGAAAGGAACACTGCAGTTTCAACCAAAACTCAATCACTACAGAAGCTATTGTGCTGTTGATTCAGTGCTGTTATGTGTTTTGACTCAATGGATTTTATGTTCTTTAATTAAAGAGACATTCCACCAATTTTTTAAAAGTGTGCATAATTAAATGGTTGAGATGTAAACAAACTCATTCAGAGTGGTTCAGTGTGAAATGTACTGTTCTAGAGAAACTTACAGGGTCAGAATTGTGCACAGTGGTGGTGATAGGAACCAGACGTCCACCTCTTAAAGCTCCCTCACAGAAAGTTACTACATGGACTGCTTATGAATTCACTGTCTGATGCCAGCATTGTTTTATGGTAGTTTTGAGAATGTTTTGGCCTAAAATGTACTTTATAAAAAATCATTTGATGGCAGAAGGGTATATGCACAGTGTTAGGAGACAAAATAGAAAACATATATTATCCAGATTTAGCATAATTTTATCTTTATTAAAATTACATACACAAAACTCATATAAGTTCACTGGTGGTTTTGGATAGTAAATAAAATTGCTATATCTGTGTTGCAGACATGGTGACCCCTGGTTCCCATCACCACCACTGTAGAGAAATTAGAGTCTGTAAGTTTCTCAATAATGAACCATTTCACATAAAATCACTCTGACTAACTCTCAACCACTGAATTATGCAGATTTTTTTTAAAAAATGGGTGGAATTCCCCTTTATGTACAGGAAACACATAGTGATTAGGTTGAATAACACAGGAGTAGTTCTGAGACACATATGACTATCCTGCTTTCCTGTTCGTCACTGGGTGGCGCTGTAGGCTCATATTTTGAGCTCTGCGTTGAGGGAGGTGTTTTGAATAAAAGGCCTGAAACTGTTCCACTCAGTTTCCACTGGACACCTACCAGCATCCTTTGTGAGCACCAGCAAGGTTGATCCTGGCCTGCATCGATTAAGATTATGAAATAAATGATTAAAGAAGTCCTGGAGGCAGCTTTGAGCGTGATAACAGCGAATATGGTGTACGTGTATGTTTCAGTGTGGACGCTGCTCCTTGACAGTCTCTGTTGTCTTAATTCCTGACTGGGACTTTAAAGGGCCCATCTCACATTTTTATTGTGTTTCAAATTTTCTCTGATATTTGTGTGGTTTTATTTACCAGAAATCATTTTTAAGTGACCATTTTCCATCCTTTCTTTATCCCTGGTTTTGTTTTTGTGCCTTTTGGACTAAAACATGTAAATGAGCTCTGTTCTGATTGGCCCTGTATTGTGCCTCATTCAAAAAGCAGCCCAGGCTAAAACACTCCTTATAACATCAGTATGAACTGAAGGCTAAACTGCTGCACACCCTTAAAAACGATGGTTCTTTAAGGGTTCTTTAGTAAAGAAAATGGTTCTATGTAGAACCATGAACACTCACAGCTTAACATGTTCTTGGAATTGTGCAAACGTTCTTTAGGGTGATGGAAAATGTGCTGTATACAGTTCTATATAGCACCAAAAAGGGTTCTTCTATTGTTATGATGCCAAGCTTGTAACAGCAGAAGAACCCTTTTTGGTGCTATATAGAACCCTTTTCAGAAAGGTTCTATATAGAACCATCTACAGCAAATTCTCCATCAATATGAAGGACGCTTTAAGCATGCAGATGGTTCTTTGAGTGTTCATGGTTCTATATAGAACCGTTGTTTTTATTAAAGAACAATTAAAGAACCATCTTTTTAAGACTGTAGGCTGGAGTGAGGATATAGAGTTGTGTGGAACAGTTTGGTTCAAACTACATGTATTGTGTGAAAACACACTTCTGCACACTTAAATGCACAAATACTGTTTTTTTGGTGAATTTGGGAAAAAAACTGGATTGGATGGTGAAATAAACATAAAACGAGGCCTGTGCGAAAGTTATGGCTCATTTTATTTTTATGTGTCATTTGTTTTCCAATATGTTAAACTTGTGCACTAAAATTTGCAGGAAAAATGGTATATTTAAGTATGTTCTGTGTAGAGGATGTGATCACTTCACTGATAGTCACTTAGAAAATCAACAACAACATGAAATTTGACCAGGGGTATTCGATCTTTTGCATATATTAAGAATAAGTTACCCTTTTTAGTCCCACAACAGGGAAATTTCACCTCTGCATTCTAACCCATCTGTGTAGTGAAACACCACATACACAAAAGTGAACACACACTAGGGGGCAGTGAGCACACTTGCCCAGAATGGTGGGCAGCCCTATCCACAGCACCTGGGGAGCAGTTGGGTGGTTAGGTGTCTTACTCAAGGGCACTTCAGTGATGTACTGTCAGCTCAGCGGATTGAACCGGCAACCTTCTGGCAACAGGGCTGGGCCCTAACCTCCAGCCCATGACAGCCCAAAGGTGGTGTATATATATAGCTGTTGTCGGAACAAAACCCATCTCCATTTTTGTCGTTTTTTAGTTTTTGACATAATTTGAAAATGCCTGTTGTCCTTTACATTGTGAGTAAATTCCATGATGAATGGATCAAAAGAAACGGCCCAAAATGATTTGGAAAAAAGTCTGGTTCCACTGACTTACATTAAAGGTAAGTATGTTTTTTCCCTTTCCTGTAAAGTTACCATTTTGGAGATATATATATACATATTGTGGTCCAGCTCAAACTTTTGCATACAGTTTATTTACATATGTTATTTTTGTGACATCACAAAAATGGTGAATACAAAACGGGCTGTTGTTGAAGCTTGGTTTCCATATACAGGCCATATGGACTGTTATTTTTGAACAGTGGTCAGGTACAACGTCAAACTCTCAAAGTAAGTAAGGAATATCTGTTTTTCTATGATATAGGCTCTTTAATGACTACATCTTAATGCCTGTTATGAGCTCACGTTATGGTTTCAGTCATCCTTGACCAATATGCACATACAAATGCAAAGACTCCAAGGTCTTATGCATTAATAAAACGTAATCTACGCTCTGAGCTGAATTTACAATGAGTTTTGAAGCTTTTAATACTCATGTCTGAGAGGTTAAGGACCTGCCTCAGCCCTCCTCAGATGCACAGGCATGAAAGAGGGTCTGCTCATTTGTTATATGTTTTTCAGGACTGCCAATCCAATTTCAGATATGTCATGCACTTTGATCAATAATGGTAGATCCAGATTGGGCTTGGGGGGGGGATTCCAGACATTTGTTATGAATTACCTGCTGAAATTCAGGGTGTTAGAAGCTTTAAATTCAATCACTCACAAAGCGGAGGTGAAATCGCTGACAGGCAGAAACTCTGCACCGCACTAAGCCTCCAGAACTCTGGATGTATCTGATGATATCGAAGAGCTCTCCTGCCGTAATCCCTTTTTATTACAGCCCACCGTGAGGGGACAGCCTGAATAGAAAACTTTTAAAATATGCGTTAATGGGGGTGACTCTCCAACATGACCTTTGGTTCACATGCTTATTCAAAAACTGGGTACACAAATCCAGGCGTAATGCAAGTTTATTACCCAGGAAAATACCATCATGTCAGCAAATTGCTTTGG